CAAATTGCATGTTTGGGGGTCATCAAAGGTCAATATGTGCAGATCATCAAAATGTCATCCTGCAATAACGAATATATCCAAATTTACGTTATTTCCCTTAAAACAAATTAACAACTTATGTTCAAAAATGTAATTTTCCAATATAAACCAGATCAAACATTACCCTCTCCCAAGAGGGAATGTGAGACCCTGGGATCGTGGAATTCACAATGTTGGTAAAGCACCTTAAGACCTTTCTATCCATGAAGAGAGAATGTTTCTACCATACTTGGAAAAATAAATTTCATCCTTAGGTCACCATGAGACATTGCCCCGGGTGACCTAAAAATCACCAACAGAACATAATTTGATACGGGAGGTTTTAGTACATCATATACAGAGAAAATTCCTGCGGTCAGACAATTAAAATGTTTTCTATTCACATCACTCTGGAAAGTCTTTTTTTAAACAAATTTAAATACTCAAATGACATAAGATACTTACCTGTTGTTACACAACCCGGGATGTGGACGAAAGACGGACACAGGTAGTGTAATCTGGACAATCCCGACACGTTCCCATCAAATAGTCATCCTGTTGAACATACATCAATTGGTTCCGTTATTTACAACAAATAGATTTTGAAGGTGTGAAATATTTTACACATATAAGAAATGTGTTCGGGTAACACAAATACATTAATTCATTGATATCATGATCAGAACCCCCGACTGTCGAAGGAGACTCCAATCAGACGTGAGACATACATTTGTAGTAAAATCCTTCATTACTTTCCTTATCTTTGTTTGTAGTATCGTCCCTCTTGTGGTAAAAGGGGTGTCTTGGTTATAGCCATGTAAACATGATCACAGCTAAGGCAGCAGCGTAGCCAATGTTTTAGGGATGTATGCTTCCAGGAGAGGGCCGTGGAGCGAAACCCTGCTAGGGGGTCTGGGCAACAGTATCAAACAGCTAAGGCAGCAGCGAAGCCAATGTTTTAGGGATGTATGCTTCCAGGAGAGGGCCGTGGGGCGAAACCCTGCTAGGGGGCCTGGCCAACAGTATCAAACAGCTAAGGCAGCAGCGAAGCCAATGTTTTAGGGATGTATGCTTTCAGGAGAGGGCCGACAAACGAAACCCTGCTAGGTGGTCTGGCCAACAGTATCAAACAGCTAAGCTACTCGGTCTGGCGGCGAAGTAAAGAAAAAATAAAAGGAAGAAAAAATATCCCAATTGAATTCGGGTGTATGCTTCAGCATACAGGCATCCATTATTGCTACGCCACTGTAAGGAAAATACAGTGCACAGATTAAGAAAAAAAACAAGAGGCCCAAGGGCCTTAACGGTCACCTGAGTCACAATGGTTCTTGTAACATGTCGTTAGTTAAGTCAGATAACTTTATTGTACACATAATGCAAATGTAAATCGTGTATACATTAACTGCTAACCCATGCTAAGGCTTCTAACCAAGTTTGAATTAAAAGAAATTACACTCAAAAAATCAATTTTCCAATGAAAACATTTCCATCCAGGAACAGTAAAACATCATTGAAATTACAGTCCCCTTGGGTCAGTCAAGGTCAATTTAAGTATCTCATCAAACAGTAAGCTTGTATTAATAAAAGATCAATTCTAACCAAGTTTGAACTATTTCTGAAAAAATGAACAAACTATGCTCAAAAAATGAAATTTTCCTACATAAAATATGTATTATGTATTATGTAAATATAATCCCCCCCCCCGTGGGTGGAATGTGAGACCCTGGGGTCATGATAATTACAATTTTGGTAAAGCATCTGAAGGCCTTTCCATCCATGAGTATTTGATTCTACCATACCTGGAAATTGAGCAGAAGAGTTTTGAAATTTTAGCAAAATTGACCCATTTTTGGCCCCGCCCAACAGCCCTTTGGGGTCAACTGAGGTTGATATGAGAATCTCATTATAATTCCCAACAGAAAATAAACAACTAACGTTCAAAAATGTGACTTTCAAATATAAACGATAGTAAAGCTTGCCCTCTCCCCTGACCTTGGCGTCATGAAATTTACAGTCATGGTAAAGCATTTGAAGGCATTTCTATCCACGAAGAGTACTTGATGCTACCATACTTAGACATTGAGAAGAAAATTTCTGATGTTTCAATCAATTTGAATCTTTTTGGCCCCGCCCCTCAGGACTCCTGGGGTTGGGGATCATATCATTTACAGTATTTGTGCGCCTTTGCCATGGAAGGTCTTTCTAAAATTTCATTTTAATCGGTTCAGGAGTTTTCCATAAGAAGCTGAACATGTTAAAAGTTTACGACGCACGAGGCACGACGCTTGACAAAAGGGGATCGCAATAGGTCACCCTGAGACTTTAGGGTGACCTAAAAAATACACAGACAAATAAACAAAAATAAGAAAAAATTCAAAGGTAATGGTGCTTTTTCATAATTGCCATAGCGACTAGGACTGTAATTGTGATTGACTTACCAAAATTGCTGTGTCCCTGTTTCCATATATATACCCAGGATTTGCGTCAAACAATTCTGGTTGTGTGTCGGTATCATCTTCGATAAGTCGACATCGTAAATCTGCTGAACTGTATGTGAAGGATTTACATCCCGATTCCAAACCACAACGTCGAGCACAGTCATACAAACCAACCTCACTGATAGACTTATACCCCGTACTGGATAAATAAAAGTTAGACTGAAACTTCGGCAAACTTTGTTCGGTTCCATATGTTTTATTAGTACCTCTGTATAACATCAGTATAAATGTCTTACATAACATGCTTCTCGACTCTTCGTGGCTCCACGTTGTAATCCTGCATTACTTCAGCTTGTTATAAACACCATTATAATTAATGAAGAAAATTGACAAAACCTTGAAGGTTTAACATAACAATAGAGAAACATCACTAATCTATGTACTGAATGCATTATCTTTTTTACAAAGACTGAGATTGAAATCCCAGAAAAAATTAAAATCTAAGGCCTTTCATCATTGAGATATTTGTAAGTTTGTTTACTTTTGTGCTCTCCGAATCAATAAATGCTTTGTAGAGATGTTGATACAGACAGGATTTTTTTTTATATCTGTGATGAGCAAAATGATGTACTTTTTGTGTTGGTTAAAAACTTCAATGGAAACCCTGTATGATATAATTTAACTCATCAGTTATTCGTTTGTATACTTAAATATCGTTTTGTAGTGCGTTCTCCCATCGTTTACGATTGTTTGATAAACAATACTAGAGACTTGTTTGTCCCTGAAAATCGTTTAAACTATATTGACCTTGTGAAAAATAGAATATATAGTTTTGATTTAATTCACTTCCATAAACCATGAAGACATAGGCCAGACAAAGATTGGAAAAATTGTGGGAAATATGTGAGAATTTCATTGTATGATAGGACAAGTGGGATATGTGGGAAATACATTGTATGATAGGACAAGTGGGATATTTGGGAAATACATTGTATGGTAGGACAAGTGGGATATGTGGGAAATACATTGTATGATATGACATGTGGAATATGTGGGAAATACATTGTATGATATGACATGTGGGATATTTGAGAACTATTCTGTATGATTGTTCATTGCTGATAATTGTAACTCAGTCTTTATTTTAAGCACATGACATTATTTGTTATTGTCTATACATGGCGGGTGCCATGGATGAAGTGGAAATTGCTGACCCTACAGAAACATCTGGTCTTGTCATCTTTAATAGTTTTTTCAAGGGTCTCAATGTAAATCTTCCCTCTATCACATATAAAGTTGGAGAGAGGATGTGTCACATATATGGTGGCCATCAGATAATTATCTAGGGGGATATTGATCTGATATATCAGTCTAAATAACTAAGAAGCATGTCCATTCATCAATTTTTCATTAATTGTATAGGTACATCTATGTAAATAGCAGGTACACTTAATCATATCATCAGGTAATTGCCTCCAACCTAATGGCTAAATATACACCTGTAGACACCGTAGCCTGCTCCATCAACACTGGCTATAGCTGTAGGTGTAATCATACCTGACCAGGTGAAATCAGTTACCTGTAGAAGTATCCTTATATAACTATACACCTGTATAGACACCTGAGCCTGCTCCATCAACACTGGCTATAGCTGTAGGTGTAATCATACCTGACCAGGTGAAATCAGTTACCTGTAGAAGTATCCTTATATAACTATACACCTGTATAGACACCTGAGCCTGCTCCATCAACACTGGCTATAGCTGTAGGTGTAATCATACCTGACCAGGTGTAATCAGTTACCTGTAGAAGTATCCTTATATAACTATACACCTGTATAGACCTGAGCCTGCTCCATCAACACTGGCTATAGCTGTAGGTGTAATCATACCTGACCAGGTGTAATCAGTTACCTGTAGAAGTATCCTTATATAACTATACATCTGTATAGACACCTGAGCCTGCTCCATCAACACTGGCTATAGCTGTAGGTGTAATCATACCTGACCAGGTGTAATCAGTTACCTGTAGAAGTATCCTTATATAACTATACACCTGTATAGACACCTGAGCCTGCTCCATCAACACTGGCTATAGCTGTAGGTGTAATCATACCTGACCAGGTGTAATCAGTTACCTGTAGAAGTATCCTTATATAACTATACACCTGTAGAGACACCTGAGCCTGCTCCATCAACACTGGCTATAGCTGTAGGTGTAATCATACCTGACCAGGTGTAATCAGTTACCTGTAGAATATCCTTATATAACTATACACCTGTAGACACCTGAGCCTGCTCCATCAACACTGGCTATAGCTGTAGGTGTAATCATACCTGACCAGGTGTAATCAGTTACCTGTAGAAGTATCCTTATATACACCTGTACAGGGTGGTTTCTAATTGTATCCCAGAGTACTTTCATGATTGGGGAAAAAGTATCAGGTTACTTTATGATGGGAGATACATATGTGATGTGACAACAGGTCTAATCAGCTAGCTTTGAATGCTGTCCCTGGTAGGTAATAAATGAGAAACAAACCTCTTTATATATTCATGAAAATGATTTATTTTATCTTAAAGCAAGCAATATCTATTCTTAGAGCAACTCATTTAACAATACCAAATAAGTTTATATAACACAATATTCTTATGCATATGAAGGAGTTATTTCTATCAGAATTACAAACTTGATATGATAGTTAATGGTTATCACCTTCATATTTCGAAACAGCTATCAAGATAAAGAAGTCTTATATTTTTTCTAATTTGCATAACACTGATACTTCCAAGGTTGTTTGAATGGACATACAGTGCAGTAAAATGGTTTCTGTGTATAGTACCAAATCCAAACTTTTTTTACTTCAGATTTCAAATTAAACAAAAATCTTTCTTTCTTACATTTGAACCATGAGCATGATTATGTTTTGGAGATAAATACATTCCTCGTGTTATATGTCAACTTTTCTCATAACTTGTTGGTTTTTCACCTGGCTACTTGTTTAAGTATACCCGTAATCTAAAAATACAAAAAAAAACCAAAATGGTAACAACAGTTGTAATACACAGCAAACACTTGATATTGTAAAGAAAAAACTCTTGACTTAGGAGTGGTGAGATGTGTTATAACTAAACAGAGTATATATTAACTGTAAGCACAGTTTTAAAACAAAACAAAGTTTGTATCAAATGTAAACATAGTTTTATAACAGAGTTTGTAAGACTTTAACTAAATCAAATGACTTTACCACTCTTAACTGGCTCTCATACTCACATCAACAAGAGATATGCCATGATTCACACAGAGATACATACACTGTTTATTGAGAAGCTTCACAAATAGGGTAAAAATAGGCTATAAAATGAGCTAATACTTGGTGTCATAAACCTAACCCATACATTAATGTATTTTGGGGTGAATTTAACACTGGGTGAACATGGAAGTTTAACCCTGAGTGAATATTTCCATGTCTATGGTACACACAACATCCAGCTAACAAGGAGATCTTATACACTAAACATATACAGATAGCAAACATTACATATCTAAATAAAAACATGTATACTTTAAGACAGAATGAAAATGGAGGAATGTTATATATCTTGTAAAAGTGTCAAAAATCCAAAATATTCTTCATAAGGAAATTCTAACGTGTCACTCCTTTAATCAAGTTCACATGTATCAGTAAGAAATGTTCATGTAGATAATGGAATTTTTAAAGTTACATCCCTTGATAAGTAATTATCTCTGATTTTGATGCTCTACAGTTCAACTCTTTAATATAGCAACATTTGTAAAGGGTAAAATAGGCAACAGACATAACATAGAGGATTTAATTGGCAAAAGATGTACCATCTGTAGAGGATTTAATTGGCAAAAGATGTACCATCTGTAGAGGATTTAATTGGCAAAAGATGTACCATCTGTAGAGGATTTAATTGGCAAAAGATGTACCATCTGTAGAGGATTTAATTGGCAAAGGATGTACCATCTGTAGAGGATTTAATTGGCAAATGATGTACCATCTGTAGAGGATTTAATTGGCAAAGGATGTACCATCTGTAGAGGATTTAATTGGCAAAGGATGTACCATCTGTAGAGGATTTAATTGGCAAAGGATGTACCATCTGTAGAGCACAGAGATGAGAAAATATATACCATGGATAAAGTACATGTTTTGGCGACAGTTATACCATCTGTAGAGCGCATGATTGGCAAAAGATAAACATGTATCCAAAAGTTGAACTTTGTAGTTATTGATTTTCTGTTAGCATTATTCTAATGACCAGTGTTACATAAATATTAGTAACTTCTGGTTGGCATCAGAAAAAAAAAAGTCAAGAAAAAATATAAGTAGAGAGCACATAGGAGACATCACGAATATGATATACAAACTTTTAAAGATTGATTTCAACATCATACACATCAAATGAATGCAGACTTCTCAACAGATAAAAAATAAATGCTCTGATAAAGGTGTCCAGTTGATTGTAAAAATAAACAGGCTATCTGGATACCTTCCCTAAAAGTCTTGGAATGAACTTGAAACTCCCATCTGATCCTCCCATTTAAATGGAACAGAACCAATGTTTCGAACTTTGCTCTTAATCCTGAACTGACTGGTCCCACATAATGGATCAGCCCTCCATCCAAGACTGACCAGTCCCTCACCCGAGACTGACCAGTCCCTCATCCTGAACAGACGAAGTCCCTCGCCTGAGACTGACCAGTCACTCATCCTGAACAGACCTGTCACTCATCCTGAGATTGACTAGTCACTCATCCTGAACAGACCAGTCCCTCAGCTGAGATTGACCAGTCACTCATCCTGAACAGACCAGTCACTCATCCTGAACAGACCTGTCACTCAGCTGAGATTGACCAGTCACTCATCCTGAACAGACCAGTCCCTCAGCTGAGATTGACCAGTCCTTCATCCAAGACTGACCAGTCACTCATCACGGACAGATCTATTTCAGCATGAGCTACAGTTCAATTTGTTAAAAATGGGGTTCTATGACTACAGCAATACTGTATTCATCTAGAACATACAGCATATTAGGGAATATTTCTTACATTTTTGTGTGTCATAAAATTAACACTAAGCCCATTCTTGATTCCATTCTGTGTTCCCTATACCAGTTGCTAACATATACAGAGTTGGGGCCTCAATTTGCCATCTGGCATGCACTTGATGAGCATGAAAGAAAAGTTGACATGTGGAGATCGTATTTACTTGGTTTGGTCATGAATAGGTAGATAATGACTTGTACCTGTGATTATAACCCTGAACACTGCTGATTAGGGCTAGTGTGAAGACAAGTGCATGTGTACTCAAAATAAATAAGGGATAAGTGGATAGGTAATGACAGCAAAACAAGCTAGAAGATGCACAAACATTAGGTTATTCTAAGTCGGTAATTGAGATAAGTACAAGTTTTGAAGAGAATACTTTCAAGTTTCAGACTTTATATCGTTGGTCTGACATGTTAGCTGAACATTCCAAGATCAATTTTTTGGTTCCCTGAGATGGATTTTGACAGAATTTTGGAGTGTGAACATTATGCAAGTAGAAGCTGTTTTTTTACCATTTTCAGCCCAAAAAGTACCGTTGCATATTACAGCACTGAAATGTGATAACACTGTCCTGCAATCAGCCCATCACGCAACTTTGTGTCAGAGGTCATGTACCGTCCCCTGGACTTATTGCAGGATAGATGTTTTAGAAGATTAACAAAGAAACGAACACCAAGTGACTTCAGATGGAAGGATTATAATGGGATCTCCGCCATATTTTCTAAGATCTAATTATCTGGAACCATGTATTCCTGGCCAAGAGAATAAAAATCTAAGCCAAGTCTTCTGTATGTCAAACTCATCTCAATTATGACAGCAGGATGAAGTGTGGACTTGTTCTGTTACTTTAATGGCTGGTCTTTTAGGTAACTTGAGAACATGAGTAAGGCTGCTCCTGGTTTGTCTGTGGGTACCATGTGTCCAGCTCCCTTTAAAACAATATCTCAGGCTGTTCACATCCATACTACAGGTTTTATTCACCAATATTCATCAAATGATTTACAATTATTTCTACTGTAAAGATTCTTCTTTTACCAAAAGCTTGCAGCAAATACAATTATTGTTTAAAGAAAGTCATGAAAATTGTTCATCTTTATCAATAGTACTTTGAGGATATCACTGTAGATCCACCAGTCTGAAGGGTTCTGCATATCAATCCACAATCTTATCTTTGTGAAGGTTGCATTCAGAGTCAGAACCCTTAAGACTATCCTTATCTTTTTCTCACAATATCCTTGAAAATGACAAAAACATAAACCCCTTAAAACATTGTTTATGGTACAAGATGATACCACACAACTAAGGAACTAAATTGATGATCATTTCAAAGGGAGGTAGTTTAATGCTGCCAAGGACAAAAGAATATGACAGATGGACTTACCTTTATGGTCACAAGAGAAATATTTTCCATCTGTTTGACAAATCCTGCAACCTGTTGATCAGTACCTTTCTTGATGTGCCACAGACTTCTCTCTGTTATAACCTGTAAATGAAATAGAAAAATCACTGACCCATATATCTGAATGATCATCGGTCAAGATGACCAAGGCTCCATAAAGATATGCTCACACACCCCGATCTTCTCATTTCCAAAGTGGTCAAGTGTCACTTTTGACCTTTTAACCATGATGACCACCAAAATCAAATCATGTGTAGAACTTGCATTTGTGTTTTAAAAGGCATAAATAAGAAGTATATCTGTTGAGGGTTTGATAAGACATCTTGTGGACATGGTTTGTGCTGGGGATGGATGGATGCAGCTGTACAGACAAAGCCATTAACATACGATCCCCCTTTACTGAAAGGGAGTAGGATAAAATATTCAGTTATCAGAAATAATTCTGCTTCATCACCTGTTAATGGAACAGAACCAGAGGCCACCAGACTTTACTGTTGAGTTCAATAAAGACTTTTTGTTGTGGTGAGGATGTTATATAAATTGTCTTGTTTACAAAGCAAGATATATAACTTAAAATACATTGTACATACAAATGCACATACAATATTGCAAATATGTAGGATGCATAACAATTGACTACCAAACCATGTCAATAATTCCAACAAAATTTAATTATTTCCAATGGAAATGTAACAAGATGAACACTGAAGTATTTTAACCTACATAAACAATAGTAAATTTAACCTCTTCAGGGAAAGTTGCAACTATCAACCCACACAAACAATTCTAACCACGATGTAGAATGAAACAAAGAATGTCAAAAATTTATTTATCCTGTATAAACTAAAAGTCTTTACTCCCTCTCTGGCCTTGGGGGAGACTTTGTTTACTTCCTCTCTGGCCTTGGGGGAGATGTTTTTACTCCTCTGGCCTTGGGGGAGGTTTTCAACCTGGAGGTCATGGATTCATACTGTGCATTAAGCACATGCAACTTAATACACTTTCATTCAAAAAGAAAATTTGATTTTAACATAATGTATCTGGGTCTTGAGACAATTTTTAAAATTTCGGTCAGATTTCTAAACGAAAGGGGACCATTCATTTAACAACTTTTGTCCATCTTGGGCTGGAATGTTCTTTCATGTGTAATAAATCAGTTTCACTTTCTGTTGGCGACTGTTAACACATCACTCTATATCAGTTTCACCTTCTGTTGGCGACTGTTAACACATCACTCTATATCACATGTAATAAATCAGTTTCACATCCTGTCCGAGACTGTTGAAAAACCATTCTACCACATGTAAAACATCAGTTGGAAAATGTTGACAAACCATTCTAACACATGTAAATCAATGTACTGAAAGTACTGGTATGCTAAGACCATTAAAAAATAAATTCTTTGTTATTAGCTTGCTATATACTGAAACCAACTATATGCAAGCAGTAAATCATTGCAGCCCATAAAAATGACCAGCAGGTATCAGAAATAACAAGCATAGTAGTATTACTTATGTAATACATGTCCCAAGTAGGCTCCAGGATGCAATGATAGGGAAGTTGTCCATTTCTTTGGATACATTGTAGGGAATGTTGATCTTGGACACCATATTATCACTTTAAAGACTGGGTATCTTATTGGTTTAAGACCATTAGTTAGACCATCATGCAAATAACATGCTACATACAAATATTGGGCAGCTTCATTTTCCAGATTGTTTGTAAATGACTGCATAAGAGTACCAACTTTCTAAAACAAACATGACTTGTCACCATAACTTAAAATAGAAGATGCCTATTCTTCCGGAAAACCTGGTCTTATTCTCCTTGTACTTTTTCAGGGAATCTTCAAGTAGATATTGTCTTTGTTCCAATTCTTCATGTTTATATATTCTTTGTTCTCTAAAACTTGTCGCAAGATATTTTATTCCTCTTGTGTTCTCATTTTTTAACATCCTTACAGTGACCTTGAACCTTGAAATTTGCAAGATGTGAATATCTTTTAGGTTGTGAAATTTGATAGAAAAACGAGGGTAATGCAGAGGAAAAACACCCCCATGCAACTATCCGTTTTTTGACTGTGACCTTGATCTTTGACATCTGACCCTGAATTTCTAAAGAAACCGACTTCTCCTCATAAGGGATACATGTTCCAAATTTGATTAAGGTATACTAACTGTCTTGGTCTCAATGTGTTTACAAGGTAATCATATAGTACTTATGCAAGTACTGTGACCTCTACATTCAATTCTCAAAATCATTACTATATCCTCTCCACATTGCCCAGGGATAACTGAAACTGTAATCCAAATGCTAACTAATACCCCCTACACCCACAGCCTTAGTTATCTCCCCATGGTGACCTTTTGCACAGAAACATCCTCTGAAACACAGCGGCATGTGCACATGTTCCCTAATATTCCTGCGAAGTTTTGTTGAAATTGGTCCACAGGTTTAGAAGTTGACCGACATGCAAAACCTGTCTATATTGACCAGTTGCCATGGCAATCAATATTTCGAGGGGAAAATGGTGCATGCACATCTACACATTGTCCCGAATATTACTGTAAAGTTTCATTGGAGTTGTCTAGACAAGATGTGTCTACAGACAGACAAACAGATGGATGGACAGATAGACAACTTGATTCAATTTACCCACCTTTTTGGTGGTATAAGAATGCACAAGAGTGCTTACAAATTCCATGTGGACAGACATCATGGGAAAATAATAATGATAATAATAAAAATAAAAACATGATAAAGATGCTTATATCTTGTTTTATTCAGTTTTTAGATACAGTATTCTTTCCATGCTTTGATCAGCAATGTAATCTTGTCATGTCAATATCCTAGTACAAGATTGCATACACAAAATTGTTGTAGGTAGATTTTTAAGATAAATAAAAAAAATACATGTCTAAGTTTAAATGAAGGTTTTAAACAGAAGTGGTATTATGTTCAGTATACAGTGATTTTGCTAGACAATTGTAAACTATAAACTTGGTATACATCGATCTTTTCTACACATTTGTAAACAACAAACTCAGTATGCGGTGATATTTTCTACAAAAAGTTTTTTTTTATATATTGTATACACTAAACACAGAAAAAAAATAAGTAAACCTTTCTATGTACACTACAAACTCAGTATACAGTGATCCTTTCTACACAAACATGGTATATCTAGTGAATCTTTCTACTCAAGTAAATTGAAGATTGTATACAAATTTACAACAAATGCAGTATACAATGATCTTTTCCACATTTTTTTAGTTTCCGCCATTTGTTGATTCTTCTTTTGTGATGGTAAATATATTGCCGCCTTTAGAGAGTACTGTGACCTTAAAAGGCAACATGGTTGTTAGCATCTCCTCAAGTGATTAATCATCTTCAACATCTAATTGGAGGTCAGAAAGAAGGACGTTTTTCTCCACCATAAGGTCCTCAAATCCATTGTTGGTCACAATGGCCAATTCCAAGTTAGAAGAATCAATAGAGATACCTTCTACCATTCCAGATTTCATTTCTTCAGGGACATCCACCTGCTGAAAGAGAGTAAGGGAAATAAATAACTATATTTCTTTATTGCTATGATTATGTGCAAGAAATATACACTTCTGTATAAGCTTATAGTCTTGAACTTCCCAATAGGAGTCTATATTAAATATACTGTAATTAATTACTTTGACGTTCAGGACTGTCAAATTATTAAGCGATGGACAGCTAAAAAATAATAATATCTTGACCATAGTCATACAGAGATTGAATCATAAAGTTAAATTCGTGTGATAAATCTGTGCAGTATGATAATTTATTTTGACGTTTGTATTTCAAAAATCATTATGACTTGAAAAGTAATGTGTAATTTAATTAATTACATTGGACCGTCATGTATTGGCAATGCCATTTTCATAATGTAATTGTAATTTAATTAATTACATCATCGTGTAATTGAACCCATGCCTGTTACAAACAGTAGCTGTCCTAACTGATCCTAAAATTAACTTTGGCTACGTCTATCACAAAATTAACTTTGGCTGTCTATTACAAATGCCACATTTTGGTACAGTAGAGGTATTTCAAAAATGTATGTCATTGTAACTGAAAGGACACAATTAATGGTTACTTAACCATAACTACAGTTCTGAACAAACCACTACAAAGCCTGGTTAACTGCACTAAGAAAATGTCCTCTCAATTAATCAATTTCATTGATTATTGACATCTTATTGTTGTACTTACGGCCACTTGAGTTTCTTAAAGTTTCAATTTGACTTTTAATAAGGCCCAAAGTGATAATACTGCAATGTCTTAATTAGCTCTCGAAGGGTATTGGTTAGACTATTTATCTCATTTCATTCCATTCACCACGAAAACTCTAAAACGCTAAAAAACAGTCGACAATTAATGACAAATATTGAGTCTAGAGCTGGGTAAAATTGATGAATCAAAAGTGTTGAACTGAAAGTGGACGCAGTTGACATAATACTAAAATTTCTGAGATACAGTACATACATTAAAAGTTCAATTGTACCAATTACACTTTACACATTCACACTGGGACCTTACACTTTACACATTCACACTGGGACCTTACACTTTACACATTCACGCTGGGACTTTACACATTCACACTGGGACCTTACACTTTACACATTCACACTGGGACCTTACACTTTACACATTCACACTGGGACCTTACACTTTACACATTCACACTGGGACCTTACACTTTACACATTCACGCTGGGACTTTACACATTCACACTGGGACCTTACACTTTACACATTCACGCTGGGACCTTACACTTTACACATTCACACTGGGACCTTACACTTTACACATTCACACTGGGACTTTACACATTCACACTGGGACCTTACACTTTACACATTCACGCTGGGACTTTACACATTCACACTAAGACCTTACACTTTACACATTCACGCTGGGACTTTACACATTCACACTGGGACCTTACACTTTGCTATGTTTATCCTAATCTTTATTAAAACACTTTCCGGGATTCAGATGTTAACTGACATCTTCATTATTCCCAATCTTCATATTGTAATCATTCACATGCATCACTCTTCAACAGAATCAACGAGACATCATGTCAGAAAGACAAAAACTAAATTTAAGCTAAAACTATATATATTCACTTCACATGTAAACCTTACAATTAGCATAGCTGTAGAGTTCCCGTACAATTTCATACCCTGGCATTGGGGTACTTATAAATTATCTCCGATCAGAAATTTGAAAGTGCTAGATCTACAATAGCGCGGACAGTGACCGATATTTTAAAGTAAAATCGATATATTACACAGATAGATTCCTAGATCTATTCACGGTAGCGTAAGTAGTACAGTACAAAATTACGGATAAGTTTTTTCTGGTTAATTTCCGATCTGTTGGGCCACTGACAGAAGTGACTGCGATGAGACCATTATGAAACGATCATTCAAAAATAAATCCATTTCAAAATACTGAAATACTTTACGGAAGAAACAAAAATGTGCTAGATGCTTACATAACATTTTTCAAATGCATACTGCTTCAAAGGAAAAGTCTTGAAAATATTTTGAAAAAAAAGTGCCATGGCGGCAGTGCCCAGCTTGCGCGTCGCCGTCGAGCCTAAATTCAATACACGCGAAGGCTCATTTCAAATGAATTGTTGCAAAAAATGCAATTGCTAGTTCAGTATAAGTATTGACATTAAATTCAGCTTATATATATATAGTGATACTTACCTACATAAGTTACCCGCCATCTTCTTTCTGCCGCCGTCTTCTTTCAGGGTCCAGCAGCACAGAGCACCCCGGCTGTTTCCGTCAAAATTTTATGCTACTCTAAATCATTCTTATTTTAGTTTCATTTTTATTTTCAACTACATATTTCAGTATTTTTAATAGTTTTCAACAGTATTAAACGGGAAATAAATTTTCTAAAAAGAAAAAGAGAAAGATATACAAATGTATATGACACCAACAATGCATCGCGTGAAAAAGAAAATTAAGCCGCCATATTGGCATCGCCTCGCAAAATTTACCACCATAAACGTGAGTCTTTGTCATTGTATTTACAAATTTTGATGTCTGATTATCATTAATAGAAGTAATGAAGAAAATGTTGATAAGGTTGTTTCATTTAATGACTAGCATCAGCAACTTGTAGGGGCGATAATCCAATTATTACAGTAATGTCCGGCAGATGGAGTAGGAGTAAACTTTCAATTTATGAACCAATGAAAACGAAGTGCTGATACTCGGCCTCAGGGGCGACAGCAACATGCTGAAGAGCATTCAAAATGCTCTTAGCATAAAAATTAGTTGGAAAATGTTGACAAACCACTCTACCACATGTAAGAAATCAGTTGGAAAATGTTGACAAAACATCAGTTTCACCTTCTGTCCAAGACTGGTGACAAACCATTCTACCACATGTAAGAAATCAGTTGGAAAATGTTGACAAACCATTCTACCACATGTAAAACATCAGTTTGGAAAATGTTGACAAACCATTCTACTACATGTAAAAAATTAGTTGGAAAATGTTGACAAAAACACTCTACCACATGTAAAACATCCGTTGGAAAATGTTGACAAACTATTCTACCACATGTAAAACATCAGTTGGAAAATGTTGACAAACCATTCTACTACATGTAAAAAATTAGTTGGAAAATGTTGACAAAACAACAGTTTCACCTTTTGTCCAAGACTGTTGACAAACCACTCTACCACATTTAAGAAATCAATTTTACCTTCTGTCCAAGACTGTTGACAAACCACTCGTCTCCTAGGAAGTTACATGCCATGTCCACATCTCCATTGTATACCATCACTCGTTTCTACAAAGAAAATTGTATCAATAAAAGAGACCATATACAGGAATTGGGAAAATATGATTAATTTGGTATTAATGGAAACTGCCATTTGTATTTGAAAAACAAATATTTGTCTATTTCTAAAACACTTCATGCTCGTTACTTGATATTCTATTTTAACTTACTAAATTTTCTACTTAATATACGGATTAAAAAGTGTCATATCTTATACCACAATCACACTGTATGAAAGATTTCAATTGAAACTGGGAAAATATGGGATTAACTTTCAATTAAGAACGGCTTATTTCTTAATTGTATTACTCTATTACAACCTGACATAACCCTTGTAGCTGCAGCAGCTTTAAGTATTTTAGCAATGCATGTCCAAATTACTAAAACTATATATATATTTCCTAGTGTTAGTAAGTTTTCCTTACAGATAAAGACAGAAGAATCCATTCAAACTCAACATTAATATAGAATTCTTTCTTTGTCTTTGTCTTCTAATTCAAATACAGATTTGTACTTGTTTTAAAAATTTCAATAATAATAAGATATAAAACAATAATTATTCTAAATTAAAGAAGTACTGAATTTGTAAATGAAGTCATTCAAGCACATTGTTTCATACCTCAGAGAGTGGCAAGAGGTGTGTCTGATCACTCAGAGTAGCGAGAGGTGTGCCCGATCACTCAGAGAGCGGCGATTGGCGTGCCCGATCGCTCAGAGAGTGGCGAGAGGCGTGCCCGATCGCTCAGAGAGCAGCTAGAGGCGTGCCCGATCACTGTGAAAGAACTTCACAACTATTTGAAAGAACTTCACAACCTGCACACAGGTTTCAAGGTTTCTTATTGTGCTAACATTGTTCAAACATCATGCCCATCATGTGCAGTCATCGTGCACACATTGATGTGTAAGATTGTTCAAACTCACAACATTCTGTTATATGTTATATTTTCAAATAGAAACAGCATTCAATTTTATTCAATGTGATGTGAAATCACACAGACCATATGTTCTCAATAGATCATACAACAATCAAATAATGAAGTTATATGCTTTATACGAAGACGAAAAATCCTACCTTGCGTGACAGGACTTTGAGGTATTGTTCCTTCATAGAGTTGTAGAGAGTCTTATACAACAAACTGACTGTAGAACTGTAATAGGAAAAGTAGATCTGCATAGAGACATATCTGAAACTGACTGTAGAACTGTACTAGGAAAAGTAGATCTGCATAGAGACATATCTGAAACTGACTGTAGAACTGTACTAGGAAGAGCAGATCTGCATAGAGACATATCTGAAACTGACTGTAGAACTGTACTAGTGACAATTAGGCCCATAGACCTAAATGGTCACCTGAGTTGAATTTCTGTTTTTAACAACTGCCTTATTTAATTTCATTGCTTACATACTGAATGAATTGTGAAGTAAGTTGTCCTTCAATAAACGTACAATTGTAGGCTGACTTTGATGCAGCTCTTGTCTTTTTCCTTCCATGGATATTGATATGAGAGATATCCACTTTTCACAGATTCACAGATTTCACTTTTGTGCCTTACTTACTATCAAGTTCTGAATGTTAGAATTATAACCAAGCTTCAAATAGGTAGTGTTAACAATGACAACATGTTAATATGTAAGTACTGTGTGTAACTATGCTGATTTTAACAATCACCATGACAACTTACCTACATATATCCCATTTCTGGACCTGCTCTGGTATGTGTAGGACTTTCCTCACCTCTGCAGAATTCATGTACTTCACAACATTGTCATAGTTCAGACATGGAGGGGTCATTCTCACATTATTTTCAATGTCATAATTTTCTTGTAGAAACTAAAATCAAATAATTTATAACAACATTAAACTGGAACCTGCTCAACTAAGAACTCTTTATTACAAATTCTAAATTAATGTTGACTTAACGTTTATTTTCATAGGATGAGTTTCATGACCTAATCCCAAATATACTCATGATTTTCAAAGTTGTTGCCATGACACTCATTTGGATGCTAGTTCAAATATGGCCGCCATTTTTCCTGTTGAGACAGATGACTGGCTCAAACATTATGATGATGATAATGTTGATAAATATGATAACAGTAGGTAAAACTTTGTCTTGTATCAAAACCAAAGTCAAAATTCACCATCTAAACTCCAGAACATACATAAAAACAAGCGTACTACCCGACCCCTTTGCCCCTATTGGCATCATCTATAACATTTCATAAATGGTTTTACATCAAGTGCTTTCCATCAAAGTTCAAAGTTAAGCTCATTCATTGCTGGAGAGAGAATCATACACCAGGAAGAACAGGATATTGACAGGAAATTTTTTGTACCCATCTTCCCCTATTCTTTTTCAGCACACTTATAAATTTCTGCAAAACTAGTTATCATTAAAATGATTTTCAAGTTACCTGGTACACTGATCAGAATTTCAGATGATGTTCGTAATCATACAAAAATAAAAGTTTAGAATGGTGACAGTGTCTATTTTACATACAAAACCAGGCTTGTTCTTTGATGACGATGATGATGGCGACGATGACGACACTAATGACGGTGATGATGACGACAATGATGACTGTGACGATGACGACAATGATGCATCAATCTAGTTTACCTGCATGCACCTACCTTCGCTTGTTTCTGTACTGGTGAAAAGAATGTGAATGGCCAGTTGATGTGAGTACATGTAACTTTTTTGCCGGAGTCGTCCCACGAAAGACCATTTTGCCCCTCACAGGGAGCATACAGGTTGTATTCGTTGAGGCCACTGCTGTATACAATATTCAACACACCTTCGACCTACAATCATGTCACATATGAAGTCAAACTTGTCTATAAAAGCCACTAAAAGGAGCAAATTGCTGTGACCCTAACAGACAGGTAGCCTTTGTTTAGAGGGCCAATTGTGAATTATATTTCATCAGGAACCAAACATGAGGTCTTTATAGACAGATGATCTTTAAATAGATGTAACCTTTCTGGAAGAATAGGTTTTATAGGAGTAACAAGCTTAAAGGCTGGGTAGGCTTTTATTCACTAATTGTTTATTTTTCATGTATTTTTTCTGCAAAATGACTGGATCTGCCACAGGCTGGTATGAGAGTAACTCCAATGTTTGTGTTAGATGGTACTTACAAGCTGCTCACAGCCTAGGCTTTTCTTAGCATTAGCCAGAAATGAGCACCGAGTGATATTTCCTCCGCAGCAGAACTCTGTCATGTCCGCCCACACTCTATACAACAAAAAAATCATTCCAGAGCTAAGATCAGCTAGAATCCTATCTCATTGCCTTTTATCTACACAAACTTTTAGAACTGGAGCAATATTAATTAGAATTTAATTTCCAGGATTTTGATATTACAATTCAAGGTCTAGTAGTGTGGGTAAAACACGGAAATTTACTTGTTTATCAAGATTTAAAAGTGAATTTAAGAACAAGCATACTTGTCTCCTATCAGTCCATGATAGTATTCGAAGTATATTAACGAGTCTGTATTCATTTCCGCGTCACTAAGTCCATTGCCGACAACAAAGCCTTGAAAGTTGAAACTAGAATCATCCACAAGTCTGGCTGATAGTGTGGGAACATAAATTCCTCCATAACTCTCTCCAGTGACAAAGAATTCATTAGCCTTGTACTCCGGAAATTTCGAAAAGAACTGTTTTAAAGCGAGGTGATTATCCTCAGCTACCTGAAATTAGTGACATCAACTTCAAACAGTCTTTTAAATTCATACATCTATTAAAAATATCAACACTATTTCAACACACTGTTTTAACTGAACTGTTTTTGAGGGACTTATCAGTACTAATAGCAATAAAGATAATATGTAGATGGAGCCAATGAATGAGTGTTCTATTTAACGACCATCTCACAGTGCCATCAAACTGATGGACCTAAAATACAAGAAACTTGACCCAGATCTTAACCACAAAAGGTCACACTATATTGACAATGAGTTAAGCAGTAAATACCTATAGACATTTGCCTGTCTTGATCAGAGGACACAACCCCTAACATTATCAATAAAAGCACACCATTAGTAATATCACACGTTCAACTTAAGTGCCAAAAATATGGTGGCAGTATAATTGAACAACAGCATGATGAAATCTTACAATTCTTTTTTTTTTAATTAATGGAAGCAATCAGATAACTGTTTGTATGTTTAATTAGGAAAAATTAATTTACACCATCTGTATTGACAAATAAAAACTATGTATTTTTAACAAGGATAGTACTAAGTTGACAAAAATCTAGAGATCTGAATCTCAGTATCAAGCCAGTTTCAAACAGTCTCATATGAAGTGAAACCAAGATTAAGATACGTTTTATCATATAACTCAGATAGGCTACATTTTGACAGGTTTTAATGTAAAAATGCGAAGGACAAAACCAAACACAGACATCCATTATGTTGCACCATTATCTTTTCCTGATGTAACGTCATTGTCAATGTTATGACATTATAATCAATTTCTTCATCACAAAGCCAATGGAAAACACTCCTTAGTGTATTACAGTAGTGACATATGCACAAAAATATTACCTGGGTGAATTAACTGGATAACAATCAGATCACATGATCAATATTTTACCTGGTCATCATCAGTCCGGTAATCTTTGCTGGGCGAATAAGAATAGCCTACACCTGCTGGAGCCTCCAGGTAAATCATGTTTGCTACCTGTAATTTAGAACAGCAGTTAACGTACAGCATTTAATCGGTACATATAAAGGAAATAATTAAAAAAAGAAAAAACAGGCCTCAAATTTAACATTTTTTGTCACTTGCTAAAATTCGAGGCCTGACAAAACGAAATTGTGTAACACAGAATTACAAATGTATGAGTAAGTGTGGGCCTAAGTCATTCAAATACTTACAAAGAACTTCAAACTACGAGCTTTCCCTTAACAAAGTCTGAGTCTTTTCTGTTCATGTTTGAACTGGTGACGGCATCCTTGTGTCTATACACATCGTCATGACAATTCATTTTAAGATGTACTCATGTGTACCAGACAGTAGGACCAGATCAAATAAGTACTAGACAGTAGGACCAGATCAAATAAGTACCAGACAGTAGGACCAGATCAAATAAGTACCAGACAGTAGGACCAGATCAAATAAGTACCAGAGAGTAGGACCAGATCAAATAAGGACAGTAGGACCAGATCAAATAAGTACCAGAGTAGGACCAGATCAAATAAGTACCAGACAGTAGGACCAGATCAAATAAGTACCAGACAGTAGGACCAGATCAAATAAGTACCAGAGAGTAGGACCAGATCAAATAAGTACCAGAGAGTAGGACCAGACAGTAGGACCAGATCAAATAAGTACCAGAGAGTAGGACCAGACAGTAGGACCAGATCAAATAAGTACCAGAGAGTAGGACCAGACAGTAGGACCAGATCAAATAAGTACCAGACAGTAGGACCAGACAGTAGGACCAGATCAAATAAGTACCAGACAGTAGGACCAGACAGTAGGACCAGATCAAATAAGTACCAGAGAGTAGGACCAGACAGTAGGACCAGATCAAATAAGTACCAGACAGTAGGACCAGACAGTAGGACCAGATCAAATAAGTACCAGACAGTAGGACCAGACAGTAGGACCAGATCAAATAAGTACCAGACAGTAGGACCAGATCAAATAAGTACCAGACAGTAGGACCAGATCAAATAAGTACCAGACAGTAGGACCAGACAGTAGGACCAGATCAAATAAGTACCAGACAGTAGGACCAGATCAAATAAGTACCAGACAGTAGGACCAGATCAAATAAGTACCAGACAGTAGGACCAGACAGTAGGACCAGATCAAATAAGTACCAGACACAAGGACCAGACAGTAGGACCAGATCAAATAAGTACCAGACAGTAGGACCAGACAGTAGGACCAGATCAAATAAGTACCAGACAGTAGGACCAGATCAAATAAGTACCAGACAGTAGGACCAGACAGTAGGACCAGATCAAATAAGTACCAGACAGTAGGACCAGACAGTAGGACCAGATCAAATAACAACACAGTGTATTATATAACTAATGAAACAAATAAAATAGAGTGTAGTTTATATGTGGATACAAAAAGCCCAACATACAGTGTTCCAGCTGTACATGTTGTAATCCACAGTTTCTCCATCGGAATTAATCTGAAACAAATTATAAATATATATCATTATATATACCTAATTAATACAGCGATAAACCATAATAATAAACCCACCCATTTTTCTACAGAAATACAAACCCATTTCATTTCATTGTCTTGTATTATCACCATTCCCCTCTTTGAATCTAAGGTTTTTATAATCCTGTAATGTGACCATTAGTGCTATCCTTCTTTGAATAAAACAATGTGTGTTGGCCCGTTGATCAAACTTGCATATAAAATAAAACCTTTAAACAAATATAAACTTAATTCCAAGAAATGCTTACAATTTCAATAATGCTTCATATCATCGACTTTTCACATAAAATAAAATGATTCAATTATGTATACCCTGAATGGCCCATGTTCGCTGAGCAAGCCAAGATCAGAACTACAACCAGGTCCACCATTCATCCACAGGACAACAGGGTCAGTCTTAGGATTGTTCTGGGATTCTAAAAACCTACAATAATGGTCACAAATAAATATTTCTCAGTTCTATAGTCTGATACAGTTTTAGAAATTGTCTCTACCTAGTAATATCATGTGTTAAAGTCTAAGTAGGAGAAACGTTCACAAAAAAATCAAATACCACCAGAAACTTGTAGCAATCTCACTTGGAAACTTTATAAACATATGGAAGTATATCTATAAGAGGAATACATCAGATTTAAATCACAACAGAAAAATAAATTCTTTTCATTTCAACAGATTAGGTAAGATATTCATTTTGATTTAAGCAATAATATTGTAATGATAGTATAAATATGACATGTTTTACATCCCTTCTCTGCCTATAAAGGGAAAGCACATTATATTGGTACCAGTAGAGGAATCCCTCCCATTAATGGACTGTATATTGTATTGGTTACCAGTAGAGGAATCCCTCCCATTAATGGACTGTACATTATATTGGTTACCAGTAGAGGAATCCCCAACCCAAATAATGGACTGTATATTGTATTGATTACCATACATTAAGGATAATTACCCTCCCATTAATGAACTGTACATTATATTGGTTACCAGTAGAGGAATCCCCAACCCAAATAATGGACTGTATATTGTATTGATTACCAGTAGAGGAATCCCTCCCATTAATGAACTGTACATTATATTGATTACCAGTAGAGGAATCCCTCCCATTAATGCACTGTACATTATATTGGTTACCAGTAGAGGAATCCCTCCCATTAATGGACTGTACATTATATTAGTTACCAGTAGAGGAATCCCTCCCATTAATGGACTGTACATTTTATTGGTACCAGTACAGGAATCCCTCCCATTAATGGACTGTACATTATATTGGTTACCAGTAGAGGAATCCCTCCCATTAATGCACTGTACATTGTATTGGTTACCAAGATCCCATTAATGGACTGAACTCCCTCCCATTAAGGTGTACCATTATATTGGTTACCAACAGGTTACCAGGAATCCCTCCCATTAATGGACTGTACATACCAGTAGAGTCCCTCCCATTAATGGACTGTACATTATATTGGTTTACTGTACAGTAATGAGGAATCCCTCCCATTAATGGACTGTAATATTCTGTATTGGTTTAGAGCAATCCCTTACCAGTAGAGAATCCCTCCCATTAATGCACTGTACATTGTATTGGTTACCAGTAGAGCAATCCCTCCCATTAATGGACTGTACATTATATTTGTTACCAGTAGAGCAATCCCTCCCATTAATGGACTGTACATTATATTGGTTACCAGTAGAGGAATCCCTCCCATTAATGGACTGTATATTGTACAATCTCATTAATGAACTGTACAATATTTTACCAGTAGAGGAATCCCTCCCATTAATGGACTGTATATTTTATTAAGAGGTACCAGATTATAAATCACAACAGGAATCCCTCCCATTAATGGACTGTACATTTTATTGGTTCACAACAGTATTATTGGGTAAGAATCCCATTAATCATTTTGTATTAATGGACTGTATATTATATTGGTTACCAGTAGAGGAATCCCTCCCATTAATGCACTGTACATTATATTGGTTACCAGTAGAGAATCCCATTAATGGACTGTACATTATATTCTCTCCCATTAATGGACTGTACATTATATTGGTTACCAGTAGAGGAATCCCTCCCATTAATGCACTGTACATTGTATTGGTTACCAGTAGAGCAATCCCTCCCATTAATGGACTGTACATTATATTGGTACCAGTACAGGAATCCCTCCCATTAATGGGTAGAATCCCTCCCATTAATGGACTGTACATTATATTGGTTACCAGTAGAGGAATCCCTCCCATTAATGGACTGTATATTGTATTGGTTACCAGTAGAGGAATCCCTCCCATTAATGGACTGTACATTGTATTGGTACCAGTAGAGGAATCCCTCCCATTAATGGACTGTATATTGTATTGGTTACCAGTAGAGGAATCCCTCCCATTAATGGACTGTACATTATATTGGTTACCAGTAGAGGAATCCCTCCCATTAATGGACTGTACATTATATTGGTTACCAGTAGAGGAATCCCTCCCATTAATGGACTGTACATTATATTGGTTACCAGTAGAGGAATCCCTCCCATTAATGGACTGTACATTATATTGGTTACCAGTAGAGGAATCCCTCCCATTAATGGACTGTACATTATATTGGTTACCAGTAGAGGAATCCCTCCCATTAATGGACTGTACATTATATTGGTTACCAGTAGAGGAATCCCTCCCATTAATGGACTGTACATTATATTGGTTACCAGTAGAGGAATCCCTCCCATTAATGGACTGTACATTATATTGGTTACCAGTAGAGGAATCCCTCCCATTAATGGACTGTACATTATATTGGTTACCAGTAGAGGAATCCCTCCCATTAATGGACTGTATATTGTATTGGTTACCAGTAGAGGAATCCCTCCCATTAATGGACTGTACATTATATTGGTTACCAGTAGAGGAATCCCTCCCATTAATGCACTGTACATTGTATTGGTTACCAGTAGAGGAATCCCTCCCATTAATGGACTGTACATTATATTTGTTACCAGTAGAGGAATCCCTCCCATTAATGGACTGTACATTATATTGGTTACCAGTGCAGGAATCCCTCCCATTAATGGACTGTACATTATATTGGTTACCAGTAGAGGAATCCCTCCCATTAATGGACTGTACATTATATTGTTTACCAGTAGAGGAATCCCTCCCATTAATGGACTGTACATTATATTGGTTACCAGTAGAGGAATCCCTCCCATTAATGGACTGTACATTATATTGGTTACCAGTAGAGGAATCCCTCCCATTAATGGACTGTACATTATATTGGTTACCAGTAGAGGAATCCCTCCCATTAATGCACTGTACATTATATTTGTTACCAGTAGAGGAATCCCTCCCATTAATGGACTGTATATTGTATTGGTTACCAGTAGAGGAATCCCCCCCATTAATGCACTGTATATTGTATTGGTTACCAGTGCAGGAATCCCTCCCATTAATGCACTGTATATTGTATTGGTTACCAGTAGAGGAATCCCCCCCATTAATGGACTGTACATTATATTGGTTACCAGTGCAGGAATCCCTCCCATTAATGCACTGTATATTGTATTGGTTACCAGTAGAGGAATCCCTCCCATTAATGGACTGTACATTGTATTGGTCACCAGTAGAGAAATCCCTCCCATTAATGGACTGTATATTATATTGGTTACCAGTAGTGAAGTTTTTTGTCGCCCGTGGCATTAAGATATCCAGAATACTGTTTCCATGATGGCTGCTTCTGCAATCCTGGCATTAACAGAATCTCATCCTCTGCAGGCGCAGAGTTGACAGGTGACACAATAAGACAGGAGATGAGGAGAAGGGACAGAATCCCCATCATGTTGGTAGTTGAGGATATCAGGAGTTTGTTTTGTACTGTAAAGAGAACAAACCAAAGTTTCTGCTAATATTGGGGATATCTTTTCTAGCGTAATAGCACACTGTAAAGACAAAGTTATAATTTGAATGAAGTAAGAAAGATACATAGACTTTAGGCAGCATATCCTTCCACACTAGAGTGGGGAAACGTTTTCATATACATCTTCTGAGTAACAATATTATGACAAAAACTTTTTTTTTTATATAATTCATGAATATATACATCAGAATAAAATTGATCAATTTTGATCAACAGACACACGAAATGTTAAAAGGACATTGATGTGCCATCATCAGCAAATAAAAATTAAGATAAATATATCATGCTAGAAAATGTCAGTAATTAACAGGCACCTCTCATATGTGTTGTATTAATTTCACTTGATCATTTAAGCAGTACTCTTTTGGAAATATAGCCCTTTTTTATTTCAAGTTAAATATACATGTCTGTACAATGGTAATAATATAATTTCCAACACACTCTTTCTCCTTAAACTGTCACTCTCCTATCGTATTAATCTTCCTTTTTTTCCCCTTTCAATTGTCACTCTTTTTTTCTGCTTTCAGCTCTTTCAATTTCGAAAGTTCTCTTTAAAACTTCCCCTAAGTATCGATGTCTTACACTTTTCTGCAATGCATCAATCATTAAAACACTTTCTTGCCTTACACATTTTAGAATGTGTTTTAACAAGTCATTCATCTCATAATCAACATCAAATTTTATTTTCTTTTTTTCTTTCCATATCTGTCACTTTATAATAAAAACAAACAAATTTATTATCCATGATTCAATTGTCTTCCAAATATTTTTAATTCTACAATATGTGTAGAATTGGTTTTGAGTTTCATCATGTAAATGACAAAATGTACATAATCCACGAGACATTTTCATTTTCAATAATTTTGCCTCAGCAGAAAAGATATTATGCAAACATTACCATTGGAAATTGCTTCATTTCCTATTTGTTATAGACCTACTTAACGAAATCCAAATCTTTACCCAATTTATGTCATCTCGATATACTGTATCCCAGGTATTTTGTGATTTGGGATAATAGTTTGTATCCAAAACTAATACTTTTAAAGTTTCATTTGTTAGCTTTGTTGGTTGCATTACTTCATTGTTTTATTTGTTTTAATATATAATTCTTCTGTTACAGCTATTGGTTCCGTTATTGGTATTTCTTGATTTCTTGATTTAAGCTCTTGTATCCAATTGCAACATGACGAAATTGCTTTCTTTACAATGGAGAATTCTGATATCCAGTTATGCTTAGATAACAATTTCTCCCATAATTCTTGTGAATTAATAAAATCCTTTCTTCCTTCACTCCATATATCTTTTATTTTTGTTATATTTGATTTAGTCCAATTTTTAAAGAAAACATGATTTTTTTTCTGAATGTGATATTGGTGTTTCCAAATATCCTTTGAGTGAGTATTTTGTTTTTTGTCTTAACTGGATGGTGTTTTAACATGACCTGCCAACATTTGAGAGAGACCTTATAAAACTGTGGAATACGATTCAATGCTAATGATTTCGTAGTACTACATTTACATATAAAGAGCTCCTATGAGAAGGTAGAATCATATCTTTTAAGCCAATATTTCCTTAATGCATTCCAACACTGAACTTCGAATGAATTATCTTGTATAGATTTTTGATACCTTTAAATATTTCCATTAAATCTTGATCAATCATATTTAGCCCTCCAAGATCAATGTCTCTATAACAGCTTTCTTTCTTTATTTTATATTTCTGTGGTAAACTTGATATATCATAATTAATTAAAGTAAGTATTGATGACTTTATTATCAGAATTTTACCTCTAAGTGTAAGATATCAATTTTTCCAGATTTGTATGGTTGCTTCAATCTTTTTAATCATTTTCCCCCAAATTTCATCAAAGTTTATTCCATAACCATGTATTATTCCAAGAACCTTAACCCTTTCTACCAAACAAATTTCCTTAAATTTAGGTCTTTGTTTCCATGTTCCTATGTCCATACCTTTAGTTTTTTTCTTATTTATTTTGGCACCAGATGCTTTTTCATATTGGTGTAAAACACTAAAAATTATTGGCATAGAATTTTCATCCGCTGCAAATAGCTGCGAATCATCAGCAAACATATTAATTTTGGCTTCATGTTTTTCATTGTTACTAAATGGTACCTGGTATCTCAATTCCTTTTATTGAAGCATTTTTCCTAATAGAACATGTCATGGGTTCAGCAGGTGCTATTGGGCACCCCTGTTTTACTGAACGAGAAAGCTTGAAGGGTTTTGAAATGAAACCATTTGTAAGTATATGACTAGACGAATGTATGTATGTCATGTTAATCCATTCAATAAATTGTGTACCAAATCCAAATTTTTTAAGACACATTTCCACCTATTCCCATTCAACTCGATCGAATGCTTTTTGCTGATCTAAGAAAATAATGCTTCCACCTTTGTTTTCTGTATTTGAGTATTCAATAATATCTTGGATTAAATGAATACCATCTTCTATGTTTCTTCCCTGTACAAATCCCTTTTGGTCGCTATGAATTATTTTTTGGTAGTTCGTTTTTAATACGTTCTGCAATAATGTTTGTTATAATTTTATAGTCTGTGTTCAAGAGAGTGATTGGTCACCATTTTTTTATATCCTCCCTTTCCCCCTTTTTATAAAAAAGAGTTATCAAACACTTATATTGAGATGGGCATAGCTCTCTAGTTCCAAATACATTTATAACAATATTTATAAACTGATACTTTATCAAATTCCAGTAAGTCTGATAAAACTCAGCAATAATACCATCAATGTCTGGTGATCGATCGGCTTTCAAATGTTTAACAGACAAATAAATTTCATTTTCAGTAGGCAGTTTCTCAAGGTTATTTTTAACGTCGTTTGTAATTGATACATTTACATTTTGTAGTAAGATATTTGCTTCATCAACATCTATCCCTTCAGTCGTGAAGAGATTACTGTAAAACTTCACTTGTTCCTTAAGAATATCAGTTATATTATTTTTATAGTCGCCATCTTCACATTTAATCGAAGTCCACTGTTTGTTTAGTACTCTACACTTCTCAAGACCTAGGAAATAAGCAGTAGATTTCTCACCTTCCTAATACCATTTTATTCTACTTCTTACCTTTGCAGCGTTTGTCCTCTGTTCATAGTATGAACTTATTGGATTTTCTAAATGTTGAATTATCTCATAATTAGCATTACCATTTTTTAATTCATTTTCAAGCTGTTGAATATTTTTATATTTAGCGTTAAGTAAGTTACTTACAAACATAGTGATATCTGTTATTTTTGTTTTAGTAATCTCTCGCCACTCTTACAAACATAGTGATATCTGTTATTTTTGTTTTGGTAATCTCTCACCACTCTTACAAACATGGTGATATCTGTTATTTTTGTTTTGGTAATCTCTCACCACTCTTTTACTAAAATAAATTTATTTATTTTGTTTTTCCATTCATTATAAAAAATTTTTAAATATGTCTCTAAATATGTCAGATTTGATACCATTTCTGATCTTCTTCCAGTACCCTTGGCCTCTGTTAACTTTAGACATGTTAATTGTTATACAAGGCATGCCATAATGGTCATCTTTTGTAAAGGGACTTAACTCTATACTAGTTTTAGTAACTTTACTGTCTAAAGAGGAAGAAATTAAAAAATTGTCTATTCTCGATTGTTTATTACTTCTCCTAAATGTGAAGCGTATTTTGTCGAAGTTTCTCCTTCTCCAAACATCCTCTAATTGTAGTGATTGAATTACATGATTGAGTTCTAACTTCCTGTCCTCTACCCCATCTGATGTACAGTTATTTCTGTCTAAATCCTTATTAAGAACACAATTAAAATCTCCGCCTATGATAATGAAACTATTTCTATATCTTTCACTTGACAGTTTCTGTTTAATTGTATTAAAATGTTTGTTTACTTTTAGTATCATTGGGGGCATATATGTTGTATAATGTTATGTTGGAATTCTCAAGCTCAAAGGAAAGGATATATCTACCATCTTCATCAGTTTCACTAAATACTTGATTTTACTTTAAACCCCGTTTGAATAATGTTACAACCCCTCTAGAAGAAGAGGAACCTCTTGAGAAAAAATAGTTACCGCTTCGAATAATCAATAAGTTAATCAATTGCAGGGTCATTTGAAATAGGATACATATAAAGTTATTTTAAACGTTTGCAATAGCGTAGCTAGCAAAAACTGATTGTTATGGGGCTCGAACTAATACGCTTGCACGTGACAGTAAATGTATTGTTGCAAAACACTTACATGTAAATAATTCAGCTCCGTTCCTTAAACGATCTCTGTCTCTAACTCTTGTGTAATAACCTCACATGACCTGGTAACATAAATGGGGAACCCCCTATCGGCACATGACTACGATGCCCATCTCACCTGACTAACAGACAATTTCTTATCTCTAATCTTAAAGAGTTCCTCTTCGCATTTTTCACGTTATTTCATTGATGAAGTCTTTATATTTGACATTTGAAACTAATGAACAGTTCCTTTTGAAAAAAACCTGTTTTGAATATGTATATCACTAATTCATTCATCGGCAAAATTACAATTTACGTTCGCTTCTATATTGCAAAGTGAAACCACATGTATTTTGTTTACAGCGGAAGCGGAAATACCAATACAACGTTAGGCGACGTTCTCTGGCGGGTGTTTCGGAAGCTGAGAAACCAAATAAAGCTGCTCATGCACTTTCGGTTCTGACAAGATAGCTATGGCTCAGAAATTTACCCCAAAATTTTGGAAGCCAGGTTTGCAGCTTATTTAATTGACATATAACTTTTTAATTGTCTAGTCTGTCTATACTAGATTTTGATGGTTATTTGTTGTAAAGCTACTTTACGTTATACAGCCTATTGTAAATTGTATGCAAGATCATCAATGTTGTGAAATGCACTGATATTATTTAAGGTTTCTAGTAATTAATCTGAAAATTCAAAGTAATGAACGTGAAAATTTATATAAAATCTCTCTAAACGATCCTGCACTGGTAATAAACTAAACCAAACTACATGCTCATCAGAAATTTGGTTGATACATACTTTCAGGATCTGATGCACCTGCAACCCCGTTAGAAGAGGAGAGAAAGACAACAACAGAAGAAGCAGCTACAGCATTTGTGTACAACCCAGATATATCCAAATCCATTGAACAACAGCGTCAGAAACTGCCAGTTTTCCAGGTCATAAAGTGATGTTGATGTCATATTGCAACTGAAATGTTGTTTTGATTAATGTTTACAATTTTATATACATATACACCGTTTAAAGGTACCTTATCGCAATCCTTCTGTAAATGTTAAGTCAGTTTTATTGTTGATAATATATGGTGTGATGATCAGTACAGCACATGTGTAATACATATGTAATTAATTTTGTCTCTCAAAATCTGCTGATACAGATTATATAATAAGTATAAAAGGACAAAATTTGACGACCAAACATCAAAGAAAATATCTGGATCAGCTTTATTTGTCGACACTTACAAAAATAATTGTAAACAAGAATAGCTATGTGGAATCATAGGTTAAGCTTATTCCTATTTTTGGGAAATTTCTCATTATGTTTTCAATATATTTTCTTGATGGAGAATTTGTTTATATTCAGAGTTGGAAAAATACCACTTGGGAATATTATTCCTTTTTGGTTGTAAAATTTGTCTTACAAAAACAATTACCTTAATCCATTTATGGAGATCTAGCTGGACTAGTACTATTGCTATTTCTACTTCACGCACCTGTTCAGGGTAAGAGAAATATGCAACCAAGTAAAATAGATGCTTTCTTCCAACCTGTCAGAGACTTTCTTTCCTTGGTTCCACAGATAAATTGAAGATAGAGACCTACAAATATAACACATTATTTCTGTATTTAGTACATCAGAGAAATGGGATCATAATGCTAAATCTTACATTTTAGATTCATACAGGAAAAAAAATGAAAATAAATTTTGTCGCAATGGTGACATAATTTCATTTTAGCGTCTTTTATTTTGCAGCTTCGGAACCACATCCTATACTTGTGTGAGACGTACCAGACAGTGGTCATTGTTGGGGAGACTGGATGTGGAAAGAGTACACAAATTCCTCAGGTCAGTGGTCAACTGGGTGTGGGGCAGTAGACTGACCCCTCAGATTAGAGGTCATTGTTCAGGAGACTGGGATTGGGAAAAGAACAGGTCAGAGGCCAGTCGGTTGCCCTTAGGGAAAAGAGCACAGATGCTTATGATAAGAGGTCATTAGTTGAGGGACTGGTGTGGGAAAAGAGCACAGATTCTTATGATAAGAGGTCATTATTTGAGGGACTGGTGTGGGAAAAGAGCACAGATGCTTATGATAAGAGGTCATTAGTTGAGGGACTGGTGTGGGAAAAGAGCACAGATTCTTATGATAAGAGGTCATTATTTGAGGGACTGGTGTGGGAAAAGAGCACAGATGCTTATGATAAGAGGTCATTATTTGAGGGACTGGTGTGGGAAAAGAGCACAGATGGGAAAAGAGCACAGCTTATGATAAGAGGTCATTATTTGAGGGACTGGTGTGGGAAAAGAGCACAGATGCTTATGATAAGAGGTCATTATTTGAGGGACTGGTGTGGGAAAAGAGCACAGATGCTTATGATAAGAGGTCATTATTTGAGGGACTGGTGTGGGAAAAGAGCACAGATGCTTATGATAAGAGGTCATTATTTGAGGGACTGGTGTGGGAAAAGAGCACAGATTCTTATGATAAGAGGTCATTATTTGAGGGACTGGTGTGGGAAAAGAGCACAGATGCTTATGATAAGAGGTCATTATTTGAGGGACTGGTGTGGGAAAAGAGCACAGATGCTTATGATAAGAGGTCATTATTTGAGGGACTGGTGTGGGAAAAGAGCACAGATGCTTATGATAAGAGGTCATTATTTGAGGGACTGGTGTGGGAAAAGAGCACAGATGCTTATGATAAGAGGTCATTATTTGAGGGACTGGTGTGGGAAAAGAGCACAGATGCTTATGATAAGAGGTCATTATTTGAGGGACTGTGTGAGGTCATTATTTGAGGGACTGGTGTGGGAAAAGAGCTTATGATAAGAGGTCATTATTTGAGGGACTGGTGTGGGAAAAGAGCACAGATTCTTATGATAAGAGGTCATTATTTGAGGGACTGGTGTGGGAAAAGAGCACAGATGCTTATGATAAGAGGTCATTAGTTGAGGGACTGGTGTGGGGAAAAGAGCACAGATGCTTATGATAAGAGGTCATTAGTTGAGGGACTGGTGTGGGAAAAGAGCACAGATGCTTATGATAAGAGGTCATTAGTTGAGGGACTGGTGTGGGAAAAGAGCACAGATGCTTATGATAAGAGGTCATTAGTTGAGGGACTGGTGTGGGAAAAGAGCACAGATTCTTATGATAAGAGGTCATTAGTTGAGGGACTGGTGTGGGAAAAGAGCACAGATTCTTATGATAAGAGGTCATTATTTGAGGGACTGGTGTGGGAAAAGAGCACAGATTCTTATGATAAGAGGTCATTATTTGAGGGACTGGTGTGGGAAAAGAGCACAGATTCTTATGATAAGAGGTCATTATTTGAGTGACTGGTGTGGGAAAAGAGCACAGTCTTATGATAAGAGGTCATTATTTGAGGGACTGGTGTGGGAAAAGAGCACAGATAAGAGGTCATTATGATAAGAGGTCATTAAGAGGTGAGGGACTGGTGTGGGGAAAAGAGCACAGATGCTTATGATAAGAAGTCATTATTTGAGGGACTGGTGTGGGGAAAAGAGCACAGATGCTTATGATAAGAGGTCATTAGTTGAGGGACTGGTGTGGGAAAAGAGCACAGATGCTTATGATAAGAGGTCATTATTTGAGGGACTGGTGTGGGAAAAGAGCACAGATGCTTATGATAAGAGGTCATTAGTTGAGGGACTGGTGTGGGAAAAGAGCACAGATGCTTATGATAAGAGGTCATTAGTTGAGGGACTGGTGTGGGAAAAGAGCACAGATGCTTATGATAAGAGGTCATTACTGGTTGAGGGACTGGTGTGGGAAAAGAGCACAGATGCTTATGATAAGAGGTCATTAGTTGAGGGACTGGTGTGGGAAAAGAGCACAGATTCTTATGATAAGAGGTCATTAGTTGAGGGACTGGTGTGGGAAAAGAGCACAGATTCTTATGATAAGAGGTCATTATTTGAGGGACTGGTGTGGGAAAAGAGCACAGATTCTTATGATAAGAGGTCATTATTTGAGGGACTGGTGTGGGAAAAGAGCACAGATTCTTATGATAAGAGGTCATTATTTGAGGGACTGGTGTGGGAAAAGAGCACAGATTCTTATGATAAGAGGTCATTATTTGAGGGACTGGTGTGGGAAAAGAGCACAGATGCTTATGATAAGAGGTCATTATTTGAGGGACTGGTGTGGGAAAAGAGCACAGATTCTTATGATAAGAGGTCATTATTTGAGGGACTGGTGTGGGAAAAGAGCACAGATTCTTATGATAAGAGGTCATTATTTGAGGGACTGGTGTGGGAAAAGAGCACAGATTCTTATGATAAGAGGTCATTATTTGAGGGACTGGTGTGGGAAAAGAGCACAGATGCTTATGATAAGAGGTCATTATTTGAGGGACTGGTGTGGGAAAAGAGCACAGATCATAATAATAAGAAGACATTATTTGAGGGACTGGTGTGGGAAAAGAGCACAGATTCTTATGATAAGAGGTCATTATTTGAGGGACTGGTGTGGGAAAAGAGCACAGATTCTTATGATAAGAGGTCATTATTTGAGGGACTGGTGTGGGAAAAGAGCACAGATTCTTATGATAAGAGGTCATTATTTGAGGGACTGGTGTGGGAAAAGAGCACAGATTCTTATGATAAGAGGTCATTATTTGAGGGACTGGTGTGGGAAAAGTGCACAGTTTTTTCAGATGATAGGTCATTGATTTTGGAGACTGGGTTTTTAGAATAGTACACAGATTCCTCAGGTCTGCTGGTCAGAAGTTACAGAAACTGCATAATATATCAACTTTTAAAATCAGAGCTCAGAGCATCAGAGTCAGAAATGCTAAAATGTTGAAAGTTCAGTAGTTTATCATGTTTTTCTAATTCTAATGAGACCATCATACTTCCCCTCGCAACCAAGCCCCCCCCCCTCACCCCCCCCATCCTCCCCCAAAAAATACAGAGCAAAACAAATCATGTTAAAATCATGACTAAAACAAGACAGAAAAACATAATGTTGTGTCAAATGAAAAAGTCATGTGTAGCTTTTTCTGAATCAATATTCATGTTGGCCACCACTAAAATTAGAGTTCTCTGATAATTATTGGCTTTAGGGAGAATCCTTTCTAATAAAATCTGTGTTACTAACACATTTAGGATTTGATTTCATTCAAACATTATATTGCAATGTCATAAATAACTGGCTTTTTGTAGTTTTGAAAAATGAAAATGTCCCGCTGTACCCAAATAATATAATTCATCTACAGTACCTGTTGGAGGCTGGCTGGGGGTCAGAAGGTCATGTGATAGGAGTCACACAGCCTCGAAGGGTCGCAGCAGTCACTGTAAGTATACTAAATAGAGTCATATCAGTCACCAGGTTATGTATTGCCCTGAAGATTACACAATTACAAAAACATCAGAAGGATCGTCAATTATTTATCGAAAGACATTCAAAGAAATTTTTCCAACTTCATGTTAAGTGAGGAGAAATTTCATGTTATTGAAATTTTTAACATCAGATGTCTTTTCCTCTCCTTATTGAACCCTTTATTTTAATTTGAAATTCAAATTGAAAGTTGAAGGTGTTTTTTTTATTTAATTGGATAATCTTACTTTATAAATACATGTAGTTGGTAGAGAACTCATTGTTTCCTGTATTTTGATACCAGGTGGCTACGCGTATTGCTGAAGAACGTGGATCTCTACTTGGAGATGAGGTTGGCTACACCATCAGATTTGATGACTGCTCAGACAAAGCCAGAACACGCATCAAGGTGTGGTCAAATATCAGTGATTGTTCAAAAATTTCTTTTATTCTCATTGTATTTTTTACTTTAAAAACCAAAAATTGAATTTTTTTTTACAAATAATTGAAATACAATTTATTTGGTGTGATGAAGTGACCTGATGAATCTATCTTTCATTTTGTTATTTACTATCTGTACATCTTGTTAACAGTTTATGACAGATGGTATGATGATACGGGAAATAATGGAAGACCCCCTCCTTCAAAAATACAGGTATTGCGTATAATGTGTATTGTAACAAAGGTTAATAATGAGAGTTTTTTTAATCATAGTTGATATCTCTGAGTGATGTTGAAGTAGTTTAAAAGTAGTACCAGGAAAAAATTCCCACCATCTCCTTTTGACTACCCTCCCCACAACTCACAACATCATCCCACCTACTTCTCTTCCTTGGTTAAGGCATCTGAATGTCTTTATCATTAGCCCTTTACCTCTGGGTCACAGGTTTCTTCTCTCCATCCACTTGCCACTCCATTCCACCAGCTCTCCATCTCCAGCCTCTCTCACCAGCCTCCTCCCCACCCCATATGCCCCTCCATCCATCCTCCCTTTACACCTCTCCACCTCACCAGCCTCTACACCACACCTGCCCCTCCATCCCACTTCCCTCTCCACCTCACCAGCCTCTACTTCCCATCTGCCCCTCCATCCCACTTCCCTCTCCACCTCACCATCCTCTACACCCCACATGCCCCTCCATACCACCTCCCTCTTCACCTCACCAGCCTCTACACCCCACCTGCCCCTCCATACCACCTCCCTCTGCACCTCACCAGCCTCTGCACCCCACATGCCCCTCCATTCCACCTCCTTTTTTCACCTCACCATCCTCTACACCCCATATGCCCCTCCATCCATCCTCCCTTTACACCTCTCCACCTCACCAGCCTCTACACCACACCTGCCCCTGCATCCCACTTCCCTCTCCACCTCACCAGCCTCTACACCCCATCTGCCCCTCCATCCCACCCCCCTCCACCTCACCATCCTCTACACCCCACATGCCCCTCAATACCACCTCCCTCTTCACCTATGAATTCTTCCCTTTCCATCCAACCTCCGTCTCACAACTGCACCACCTTATCAACGCTACCACCTTCACGCTACCACCTTCTCCACGCTACCACCTTCTCCACACTACCACCTTCTCCATGCTACCTGCCTTTTGCCCAAAACTTCATGTAATACATGTATAAAGTCTAGTGGTGTATATGTCACATGCAAATTGGTGTCATTGTATCATGTAAACCTTATGCTGCATTGTTTTATAAAACTGATGGGTGTCAGGGTATTAAATGTAACTCCCAGCTTAACATTGAGTGTAATGTTTATGAAAAATAAGATTGACGTTCACTCTCTTAACAGACAACATTTGTTTCAGTGTTTTAATGTTAGACGAGGCTCACGAGAGGACTCTGAACACAGATATTGTGATGGGACTTTTGAGGAAGGTTGGTAATATATTTAAACTGATTGGTATGATCATTATTTACGGTGATTACTGTAGAATTGGTATCTTCATATATGAAAATTTTCACAATTTTCTGATAAAATGGTTTAATTATTTTTAAATGAATGACAATTTTGTAATCGGATGGAGAAGATTTCATGGAGTAAATTTTCAGTCACACGAAAATATTATCCACATGAAAATGACCAGTTATATGGTATTAGATTAGAAATAAATCCTTAGAAAATGGATAAAATAAACTAAAATTAATGCTGATCTTACTATATATACCGGTAATTTTCTCAACTACAGGTATACAAATTATTTAGTGTTTAGAAATGAAGCTCAGTTGTTCACCAGACTTAAGTTTTTAAAAGATATTTCTTGCTGCAGAAATTAATATTTTTCAATCAATGGAGCTAAATTCATTATGATGTTTTAGGACTGGAATTAATTTGGGTTGGGGGCAAACTGAAACATTAACTGTAAATTTGTTTGTCTTGAACGATGAATGAAATAGGACTGACAGCATATCTTGTTACATTTACAGATAATGAAGAAAAGGGAAGACCTCCGAATCATAGTGGCTTCTGCCACGCTTAATGCTGAGGTGAGGAGATTTCAGAAATATGGTGCCTCGACTAGAATGAATGTATTTGTTAGAGGTAGAAAAACTAGTATTGATCTCTATCCAATTTATTTCTCATGTCTTTTTATGAATTATCCAATGATGATGTAAACTGCCGTTATACAATCATTTATGGAATAGTAGCAAAAGAACAGTAGGTTCTAAAGTTAACGGGTGAACAATGCAGAGATTCACAGGAAGACAATTAAGCTAAATCAGTTTTAAAATCATCAGTGTGTCATTACCTAATATGCTGAATTTGCCTTTTAAAGTAAAGAACTTTATTTACAGGAAATGAAGACATTCTTCAACAACAATGACACTGGAGATAGAAGGTAAGGGGTCTTCTAGTGTAAAATTGTTGTTTATGATAGACATTAATTGTTTACAAATTTATTGCACTGCCAATTAAGTTTTATTTTAGAGGGGTTAATTCTTGCAAAAATTAAAATTAAATATTTTATAGATACGCTTGATCCCTTTTTTAACCTGATTAATATATGAAAACTATTGTGTTAATGCTATTATTTTCCCCCCCAAAAATACATTTGCCACAATTTGTCTTTTTTGGTATTGAAACACCCTTTTTCATCAGCCAATATTGTTTTGACCGGGTGGCCCCATCATCTATAGAATTTATCTTTATACAACCTTACTGTTGTTGGGACTATGGTACCCATGCAAACCAATTACTGTATATTAAAAAAAAAACTTTGCAAAACATTGGGAAAAAATTTCACATTATTTTTGATAAAACGTGTAGTTTAGTGTAACATTACTTCAGGGTTTGCATATGGTATTTTATAAATAGGACCCCTTTTCAATTTAAATGACTAGGGTCCTTTTTAATTTCTATGCTTCTAAATTCTAAATTGGCAATTACAGCACAAACCAAAATTTGATAACTGCCTCTTATTTTGAGAAAAAAATTCCATGTTATTTATTAAGCCATGACTGAATTATTTCATACAACAAATTATGTATTGATACTTGCCATGTGGTTTCTGAATATTGATTTCAGGTTCCAAATATCTACCTTATTTGTAAGTATCAGTATTGTTCTAAAGTATTTTTTGTAATGCATTTGTAGACAGGACAAAGCCACAATACTGTCCATAGAGGGTAGGACATTTCCAGTGGATATTCACTACAGTATAGAGTAAGTCATTATGTAGATATGACAAAGTCACCATACTTTCCATAGACGATGGGATGTTTCCTGAGGGTTTTATTACTATACAGTATAAAATATTCATAGCATTTTAAGTGTATATCTTGGGTAACATTCCAGCTGAGGAAAATCATTTTGAAAAAGTTCAAATAAATTAAAAAAAAAAAAAAAAAATTATTTATGGAAGAACTACAAAAAGTATTTGGAAACCTTCTTAACTAAAAAATCTACACTTCTAACTAGCATGATTTTAGCCCACCATCATCTGGTGTTATACTAGATGGATCTTTCTCAAACTTCATATATAGGTTTCCCTTGGTCTCTAGTTGTGCTTATATGATTTTGGGTCGTATCAGAAAAACAAAATGGCTGACATGTGGCCAATTGGGATTTTCACAATGAAATTTGTTATCGCAATTTCTTGAGAAAGACGACGAATGGTCATCTTGGATTTCACCAAGTATCGTTTGTTATCCCTATTTCTTGAGATGTACTGGATGGATCTCTCTTAAATTTTCGTACGTAGGTTTCCATTGATTCTTTGTTGTGTCTGATTTTGGGACTGATCAGAAAAACAAAATGGCTGACAGGTGGCCATCTTGGATTTTGCAAAATAAAGTTTGTTATTGTTAGTTCTTGAGAAGTCTAAGATGAATCTCCCATAAAATTTCATATTAGGTTGTGCCTGTTTAAATTTTGGATTGATCAGAAAAACTAAAACTAACCGACATACAACCATCTTTGATTTCACCAAGTAAAGTTTGTTATCTCTATTTCTTGAAAAGTACTACTTGGATCTCTGTCACATTTCATATGTAGGTTTCCCGTGGTTCCTAGTTGTGCCTGTTTGAGACATCCGCACTGAATAGAAAACAAAATAGACTACAAATGGACATCTTGGATTTTGACCTAGAAATTTTTTATCACTCTTTCTTGAGAACTACAGCATGGATCTTTCTTACATTTCATATGTAGGTTCCCCTTTGTAGGTTCCCCTAGTTGTGTCCATTATATTTTTTCATTGGTCAGAAAAAAATGGTTTCCAGGTGACCATCTTTGATTTGGCATTTAAAGATTATTATTACTATTTCTGCATAAGAATGTTCAAATTTCTCACATTGAGAGCAAAGACAGAGAAGAAAAGCAAAAAGAAGGGAAAAGATCCAACTTTTAAAGAACAAATAAAGTTCAGATAATGGTGGGCACCAAGATCCCTCTTGAATCTCTAGTTTTCTGACGGTAATGCCCTGTACTATTGCTGGTACAAAAAAGGTGTTCAAAAGAGATAGGGGCTGTTTAAGGAATAATGTATATAAGGTTATTTGTTATTATATTGATGAAATTTCTTGGTTACCACATGTAAATACAAGAATTGTTTTCTTTTACTTTCTGGTACCTTAGAGTAAAATGCTTCTGTGTAACTTCATAGTTTACTTGGTTCAGGGATGTAGTTTCCTCAATGCGTCAGAAACTTAAATGCACGTCAAGAAAAACAAATACATCCCAATGTGTTAACACTGATGTAGACTGAGACACATGTTTAGGGTATATTACTGCCTTATCCAGGAATGTTATACCATGTAGCTTTACACATTCTGTGGTTACAGTCCAGTACCAGATTATGTGAAGGCGACAGTTGATACAATTATGAAGATCCATCATGGAGAGAAACAAGGAGATGTGCTGGCTTTTCTCACTGGACAGGTAGGTTTTCTACTAGGGCACTGATGTCACTTCCTTAATCAACATGTAATAAGTATGATTTTGATGTGGTAGAAAGCTTGTTAAATATTTTGCTAAAGAATAAAAGTGTTTTGAATTAAAAAAAAGTGCTTAGCAAAGTCAACATTTGATATGAAAATAATCTTCTGATGCTCTGATTGGTGTTGAAACTGGTGATATCTGATAGAACTTATTTTCAGGATGAGGTCCAGAAGGTGGTACAACTTCTGATGTAAGTATACTTTACTTAAAGATGTATGTGACACAAGAGTTGTATGTAGATTGTATCTCCTTTTTGAAAGAGTTACGTTTTAATGCATCTACTTATGTATGATAGAATTAAGGTGTTATGAGTTCTGATATGGTTTATTTTCTGCACAAAGTAGTTTTAATTGTTATGTACAGTAAAACTTGTGTTGAACATGCTTGAAACGAATACATGGGATGAATATTTTGATAGGTCCAGATTTTTATCTTTCCTTTATCGTAGTGAATTAAACATGGATGATTTGAACACGGTTGAATCATATACTGCATTTGTGGGAATATATTTGGTGGCCCATACCCTCTAAATTCTATGATATTTCCTTTTTGTGTCAAACGTTCAGGCATTACCTTGTCTCAGGTAAAAATTCCCTGGCTTTGGTCCAAATGACTGAGTGTGATTGGTTAGCCGTATGAGTGTATAAAAATATGGAATGTTTTTATTTATTCATTACTTAATCATTGCTGTCACGACATGCTTCAAAACAAATATCAAGTAAAGATCCTATGTAAATAAGGTAAGTCTTTGATGCACAATGTCTCCGTTCATAGAAACAAGTCAAAGTTAAGTCGAATATTTCATTTGGTCCATATTTTATTGTATCTAATTATAGAAAGCATGTTGATGGATGTGTTCTGAAGTCTATAGTACAGTACACGATGTCCTGATGGTGTGTTTGTATTGTAGAGATGAAGCTAAACGTATCCCAAAAGACAGACAAAAGATGAAAGTTGTACCAATGTATGGCAGCCTGCCAGCATCAGAACAGGTGATACTTTCTGGACACACCTCTCCTTACATTCAAATCCTGTTTGTTTTCTGAAAAAGTGCTCTCTACAGATCATTTTATCTGAGCATTGTCTACCTTTCTGACAAAAAGTTTCTGTGTAATTAGGGCCTGTTGCATGCTTGAGTGAAGACCCACCAAGCTTGTAAAAATGAATGACCTTGACCCACTTTCAAGGTGACAGGTGTCAAGTATGCTAAAATATTTAAATGACTTCTTCTCAATAATCGAAAGGCCCAGGGCGATTATATTCAGCCTGTATATGCTGGGGTGAAGGGCTACCAAGTTTGTTTATATAATTGACCTTGACTCATCTTTCAAGGTCACAAGCATGAAATATGTTGAAATGTTTAAACAACTTTATTTCAATAATCAAAAGGCCCAGGTTGCTGATATTGGGCCTTTAGTATGCCTGGTTGCTGATATTGGGACTGTAGCATGCTTGGAGGCATGCATGGAGTAGCATGCATGGATGAAGGTCTACCAAGTTTGTTAAAATGAATGACCTTAACCAACTTTCACAGTCACAGGAGTCACATGTATTAATATCTTTAAATGTCTTCTTTTCAATAACCAAAATGTCTAGGGTGTCGACATCAGTCCTTTTGATTCCTGGGATGAAGGACTAACAAGTTTGTTGATAGGAATGACCTTTACCTGCTTTCAAGGTCAGATGTGTAAAATGTGTTAACATGTTTAAGCAACTTTCTCTCTATAACCAAAAGACTTAGGTTGCTTATAATGGGCCTGTCACATGCTGGTATGAAGGGTTATCAATCATGTGATTGACTTTTTTCTTTTTTTTAAAGGTCACTGGGGTCAAATATGTTTAAATCTTTGGACTTCCTCTTTTCAATAATAAACTGGTTCTTTAACATCAGTGGATGAAGGGCTACAAAATTAATTTGAGTAATTGATCTTGACCTATATTTAAGGTTTCTTGGTTCAAATGAGTTGATACCTTTAAATATCTTTTTCAAAAAGCAAAATGTCCAGAGCAATGACAATTGTGTATTTTAAGAATATGATTTCAAGTTTGCGGAAAACATTTTGATGAACCAACAACATCTTCTTTGAAAGCAGTAGAGTAGTTGAGTAATTTTTAGGCCTGGGAGCTGGGACATTCATGTACTCTTACAGACATTATCATTTTTTCTTTTATATCTTTATCTAATGTGCATTTTAGCCCATCATTATCAGATGTCCATGGTCAGTGGTCCATCTGTCCATAAGATATATTTGTTTCACCATTTCTTGAGAAGCACTTTATGGAGCTATCACAAATTTCGTATGTAGGTTCCCCATAGTCCCTAGTTGTGCCTGTCTGACTTTACTGTATAAAACATATTTGATTTTCACTTTTAGATTTGTGATTGCTAGTTCTTGAGAGGTACTGGATGGATCTTTCTTGAATTTCATATACATGCACTTGCCCCTTGGTCTCTCTCTAGTTGTCTTCTTTGATTTTAAGATTGTTCAGAAAAGTAAACTAGCTATACAGTTCACCATCTTTGGTTTTGAAAAAGAAAATTTGTTATGGTAGATTTTGAAAAAGAAAGTTTGTTATGGTAGATTTTGAAAAAGAAAGTTTGTTATGGTAGATTTTGAAAAAGAAAGTTTGTTATCACTATTTCTTGAGAAGAACTGGATACATCTTTTTCAGATTTCATATGTAGGTTCTGATTGGTTCCAAGTTTTGCCAGTTCGATTTTATGAGTATTCTGAAAATATCAAAACGGGGAGCAGGAGGCCATCTTGGATTATGACAATGAAAGTTTGTTATGACTATTTGTTGAGAAGTACTGCATGGAACTCTTTCAAATTTCCAATGTAGGTTCCCTTGTTCCCTGGCTGTGTCTGTTTGATTTTGGGAGTGATCAGGAAAACCAAATGGTGGAAGGGGACCTTCTTGGATTTGGCAGTTAAAGATTATTATTGCTATTTCTGCTAGAAAATGTTCAAATTTTTTATCATAAAGAGCAAAAACAGAGGAGAGGAGAGAAAAGAAGGAAAAAGATTGAATTTTTTAAAAGAAAAAATAAAGGTCAAAGATTTGATGGGCACCACAAGCCCTCTGGGATTTCCTGTCTATAAATATTTTCAGAACTTCATCCCCGGTGCATAATATCAAATGTAAGTACAGTTGAAGCTTGTTGTCTTGAACTCGTATGACTGGAAGACCCTGTTTAAATCCAAGCATTTTGCCTGCCTAACTTGACACAAAACATTCAAACTAACTAAAATTGAATAATAAGATATCTGGAAGTTTTCCCGTGGTCCTGCTGAGTTTGAAATAACAAGGTTCAACTGTATGTGCTGTATGGTTTTTCATTGTTTTGTTAAAGTTCTCTGACGCATACACATGTGTCTGCTACAAAATTTGAAAGTGAAAAAAATCAGAAACGTGAAAAATATTGAAATTTCTTTTCAGTTTGTTGAACTTAATTAATCATGGTCTGTAAAATATTATTTTAGATGAAGGTTTTCCAAAGGACACCATTTAATACAAGAAAGATCGTGATAGCAACAAATATAGCAGAGGCGTCTATAACAATAGATGGTATCGTATACAGTAAGTTCAGACCTTCATATACTCTTCCTTTATGTGACTCCAGCTGTTTTACACTTGTAGTAATTTAAATTTCCACATCACATTAATGTAATTTGAATTTTTTTCAAGATAATTTTTCATAATTCATATTTCAAAAGTTTGAAAAAATGCGTTTGTACATTGTCAAAAATTATATCCTTCTGCACAGGTATCCATCTTTTCTGTTTTTCTCTCCTAGAACATGGTGAAATACAGAATTCATTGACTATAACAGTCTAACAGTAAAATTGTTATAAAATTCAGTGTTCTATCTGACCATATTTTTCAGTAAATGCTAATTTTTAGGTTCTACATGCAGCCCCCTTAGTTACCAGTGGTTCACTTTTGTATTATTTTGACAGTTGTAGACTGTGGATTTGTGAAATTGGTGGCTTATAATCCCAAGACTGGGATAGGTAAGGTATCTCACTTTTATTATTATTGTTATACAGTGATTCAGAATTAAGTTCTGTATATTACAATGTACTGGCAGTCGTTCTCATTTTGGTAAAAATATGTTGTCATTATATTTATATATCATTATGGAGAATTGAGCTTTAAACAACCTATTTTGGTTATCTAAAATATGCCTTATATACAGATACATGTAGAAATATCATGTATGATATAAATTGTGTAATTTGTGATAAGCAGAGGTTATATCTGGTAAAGAGCCAGCTCACAGTGACATGTCCATTGTAATTCAGTAGAAACCTAACCAAGGTTTCCTTTCCCAATACTAAGCTCATCTGTCTTTATTGAGGCTGAAGTTCTCCGTTGATCTCCAAAGCTTATAGCATGATGAATGTTAGTTCTTACTCAGCAACTATTTCATTAAATTATTTTAATAAATGGTCTTTAAGTTGAAACTTGAGTCAAAATTATCACTTTCTTGTTTGTGTCAAATCTAGTGTCATATTTTAATCCGTAAAACAACTGTTTTTGAGGTATATTTTTAGCAACTGTTACTGTTTATAAAAAAGAGTCCTGTCTGTTTTGTACTTAGTCATATCTATCTTGATCTGTTTCTCGCAGAATCATTGGTGATAATTCCTGTTTCACAAGCATCAGCCAATCAGCGTGCAGGGCGAGCTGGCAGGGTGCGTGCCGGGAAAGCCTTCAGACTTTACACAGGTATTATCAACATATTGTAGATATAGGGTTTTACATTTGTGTTAGTTTTGAATCTGGTGAACAAATTTGATAATGTGTATGATATCAGCCTTCAATTAATTTCCCTTAAAAGGAATTAACAATTGTAAATGATGTTGTTTATTTATGAGCTGATATCCGATGTGTCATTATATATACTTTCCATGGAATGAGGCATGGATAAGATGATTCAAATACATGAAAAGGAAAATTCATTAAAATCAATTCAGTTGACAAGGACAGATTCTGTAGATTTTTATATACATCTTTACCATTTATCTACAGAAAAAGCTTTTGATGACCTGCCTGCAGCCACTGTTCCAGAGATGCAGCGTAGTGACCTGGCCCCAGTCGTTCTACAAATGAAAGCTCTCGGTGTCGGCAATGTTCTACGTTTTAATTTCCTGTCTCCACCACCAGCTCAGAACATGGTTCGAGGGCTGGAGCTGTTGTATGCACTGGGTGGTAAGTATATTGAGCATAAATCTGGAGGGATAAAGGAAAAAATCATATAATACTCTACTAATATGTAAAATAATTATTCTTTTCATTAGTTTATTAATATCAGCTGTTTATGGAAATCATACAGGACCCTACTAATTTGTAAATAATTATTCTTTTCATTAGTTCATTAATATCAGCTTCTAATGGACAAGATTTTATTAACATCATACTTCATATTGAGATTACTTCACATTTTAAAATTTGAAAAATTTGCTGACAAGAATGAAACTTTTGATTTCTGAATAATAGAAGGAAATGATGTAGACATGTTTGTATTAACAGCCATGGATGACAATGGCATGCTGACCTCACCATTAGGACTACAAATGGCAGAGTTTCCACTGTCTCCAATGTTCGCCAAGATGTTGCTTGTATCTGGTGAGTTAATTACGTCATTCGTCACAGAACTAACACGCTACGGCCCTGTTGTTTTGATTTAGTCTAAGAAAACCTAAAGCAATGTTGACATTTCGAGAATGGTAATGCAGATACGCTGGAACATGGTGAAAGTCTCAAAATCCATCTTCCTTTACTGGCTATAGCTTGGTCAGTAGTGTACTGGTCAATGCAACATCAAGTGAAAATTCTAGCTGTGTAATTAAAAGCTCCAAAACCAAAGTCGATCATATTTCTTCTGTGGTCTGTGGTATTGGGGTTGTGTCATTGGGCAAAACACTTTACCTCAATGGCTTTTAATATCTGGTGACGAACCTCCCATATGTCATTCTGTGATGTAGCAACCAGTTTGAATAAGGAAACCTTGCCTTGAAATGGCCCTTGCTGTTCTCTGATGAACTCAGCAATTCACACTTATATCTTCTCTGTGCCATAAGAGTAAAATGTAGGCATCTTTATGTGGACATGAGGTTTTCTAGTTTGGAAACATTAAATAGAAGATTTCACATCTGTGATCTCTTTGATAAAGATGATGTGAGTCCATCATGTACAGTAGCATAATTTCAATGTTACCAACATTGGTTTTGGTGGAGCCCTTTTGTAATCTTCATGGAACTGTTGTCAGTACAGCCATTGACTATTATTTTGTCAGAAACAAATTAATCAAATGACTATTAAGGAGTCTTTAATGTTGCTAAGACATTTTGCAAGGGAATGAAGATGGTGTGTATATAAAATAAAACTTTTGTTGATCATTAGTTTGCCTGTTAGTTCTGTTGTTGTATACCTTGTTCTCATTTTGAGGACATGACATTATTTACTTGGCTTGACCATGGTTTCTTGACATTTGTCATTAATGAAGCAGAAGACACTTACTCTTTTGAAACACATGGTCTTATTGCCCTTGAACTTTTTTCAGAAGTCTCCATATAAATCATCTATATTTTGTTCATGTTTTGGTCTAGTTTTATGGAATTTGAGTTTGGATTATGATTATGTTGGTATTTTCTTGTTTTTTTTTTGTACTCCTGACAAGGTGTTGATAAGTTTGAGATAGAACCATAAACCATTATATTGCTATGGCCTTGCATACTTGTTGTTTTTACTCTTTTGATTAAATAGACCTTAAAAGACTTGCATACATACTGTTTTTACTCTTTTGCCTCAATATAATAGATTTATGAAATAGCTATATGTTGCCTTATTAGGTTCTATTGTTTCATACCTTACAACTGAATTTGTTACTTGAGTGTAAGGAATGATAATTTTAGACTTGTTGTACAACTTCATGATTGCAATTGAAAAACATTGGAAGCATGATCTTGCCAGAATCCATTTTAAAATGTGGACAGTATCACTTTGATTGATATATTCTAAAATGTGGACAGTATCACTTTGATTGATATATTCTAAAATGTGGACAGTATCACTTTGATTGATACATTTTAAAACGTGGACAGTATCACTTTGATTGATACATTTTAAAATGTGGACAGTATCACTTTGATTGATACATTCTAAAATGTGGACAGTATCACTTTGATTGATACATTCTAAAATGTGGACAGTATCACTTTGATTGATACATTCTAAAATGTGGACAGTATCACTTTGATTGATACATTCTAAAATGTGGACAGTATCACTTTGATTGATACATTCTAAAATGTGGACAGTATCACTTTGATTGATACATTCTAAAATGTGGACAGTATCACTTTGATTGATACATTCTAAAATGTGGACAGTATCACTTTGATTGATATATTCTAAAATGTGGACAGTATCACTTTGATTGATATATTCTAAAATGTGGACAGTATCACTTTGATTGATACATTCTAAAATGTGGACAGTATCACTTTGATTGATATATTCTAAAATGTGGACAGTATCATTTTGATTGATACATTCTAAAATGTGGACAGTATCACTTTGATTGATACATTCTAAAATATGGACAGTATCATTTTGATTGATATATTCTAAAATGTGGACAGTATCACTTTGATTGATACATTCTAAAATGTGGACAGTATCACTTTGATTGATACATTCTAAAATGTGGACAGTATCACTTTGATTGATACATTCTAAAATGTGGACAGTATCATTTTGATTGATACATTCTAAAATGTGGACAGTATCACTTTGATTGATACATTCTAAAATGTGGACAGTATCACTTTGATTGATATATTCTAAAATGTGGACAGTATCATTTTGATTGATATATTCTAAAAATTACTAGCCAATAATGACACTCTGTGATTAACATTCTATGTAAAACTATACATATGGTGTTGTTCCATTCAAAGGCGAGTACCAGTGTTCTGTGGAAGCTGTTGCTGTGGCAGCAATGACCCAAATACAGAATGTGTTTGTAACCCCTTCTGGTCAGCGGAACACATCAGTAAGTTACTATAGTTACAGCATCACATTATTACACAAACTATGTGGTTAAAGGAACACATAAGAAAATTACCATGGTTACATCACCACATTGATACACTATCCTTCTGGTCAAAGGAACACATTAAGTAAGACTCCATGGTTACAGCATCACATTGATACATTCTCCTTCTGGACAAATGAACACATTAAGTAAGTCTCCATGGTTACAGCATCACATCAATACACTATCGTTCTGGTCAAAGGAACACGTTAAGTAAGTCACCATGGTTACAGCATCATATCATTACACTATCGTTCTGGTCAAAGGAACACATTAAGTAAGTCACCATGGTTACAGCATCACATCAATACACTATCCTTCTGGTCAAAGGAACACATTCGCTAAGTCATTATGGTTACACTGCCAAACTTAGCAACAATACTGTAGGCCCTGGTGCTGTAACAAAGAGTAATTGTACAACAAACCAGAATGGTATTTGAACAAATATAAGACAGATTTTGGTTGTAATTTAAAGGCCAATAATGTTTTATTTGGTAGATTTTGGTTGTAATTTAAAGGCCAATAATGTTTTATTTGGTAGATTTTGGTTGTAATTTAAAGGCCAGTAATGTTTTATTTGGTAGATTTTGGTTGTAATTTAAAGGCCAGTAATGTTTTATTTGGTAGATTTTGGTTGTAATTTAAAGGCCAATAATGTTTTATTTGGTAGATTTGAATCATATCTGGCTGTTGGTCAGTCCAGATCTTTCAGCTAATGACAAGATGAAAATGATGTAGTATTTGCTTTCATTAGATATATCAGCAACATAACTAACGATTGTTTGACTGCTTTGGTTTTCATATCTTAAACTCCTATCAATAACAATATACTACGAACACCTAAAATGTATTAGATATTATCGAATCAATATCTGTTGTTTCCAGGTGTAGATATATACAGATGAGTAAAAGCATTGTAGGGGATTATTTCCAAATTTGATTTCAAGGTTCTCAGGATCAGTTAGAAATGTAAAGATCATATTTGATATTTGTTTGCATTGAAAAAAAGAATCAGGTATAGTGGGATTAACTGTAGTTTTGGCTGTCAAGACAATCTGTAGCATTAACAGAATCTAACAAAACACATAGATGGTGATTTAAGATTGAGCACAGCTTGTGATAGACCATGCTACATTTTGTTAAATCTTTGATTGACAGGACAAGATGAAAAGAAAATTTTCTGTCGAAGAAGGTGATCATGTGACTCTGGTTAATGTTCTGGCTGCTTTTCTCAAGGTCAGTAAAGTTAGAAACTTAGAAACGAGTAGTATGACACGTAATTACTCATCCTTTCTACAGTAAAATGAATGTCACAGTATGGTGATTCTCAAGAGGTGACAAAAGGATGACTATCTCACTAAAAGTTATATCTATATTAATGTGTCTAGATGTTGAGTGGTCAGGACACTTGGTGTGGAAGGAAATTATAGAGAACCCAAGTGTTTTACAGTTTGGGTCAAAATGATTTTCATTCGTTTAAACAGACGATTGAATTGCATTTCGTACTTCAAAAATTCACCCATCCTTAATCACAGATAATGCTGCAAAGATGACAACTAAGTTTTTTTAAAAAAAATTAACTTAATAGTGTTGAAGGTCTGTTCTTTGTGTAGGTACTAGAATTGACAGATCTTATAATTACAGTATGGCAGTAGTAAGAAATGGTGCCATGAGTTCTTACTGAACTACAAGGGCCTCACCCGAGCTGTACAGATCCGTGACCAGTTAACACGACTCCTCACCAGATTCAACATTCCTATGGTATCCTGTGAAGGTAGGCAACTTTTGTAGTCTTTCGTCTGCATGTGTTTTATTTCAGCAGGAGTTATCTTTCCTGTTATGTCAACTATCACAGTTTCGAGTGAAGGTTTTAAAGCTGAAGATGCTCATGGAAGACTGAAAACTTGGGTGGTAAAAAGACAACTTTGTCAATGCTGTACACCCATCCTATCAATAAAACTAGATTACAAACTAAAGATACAGGTTCAGGTACAAGGCTGTTTGGTAGTTTGATAACAACCATCTTTGTCGGAGAAACAAGTCTCTTTGGCAGGATCCTATCATAAAAGTTGAAATATTTTTTTAAAAAGTTTTGTAACAAGAATTCCGTTAGAGAACCTATCTTAGATTAAAAGATTGGTAACAAGAAAATTAAAGTATTTTATTGAAAAGTCTAATTCTCTTTAATTTTTTTGAGGAGTCTTCATGTAAATCTTTCATTTGTTTGCCCCAGTTTTATCGAATATGAGTTTGGATTGTGATTATGTTGACATGTTGGTATTTTCTTGTTGTTTCCATAACAGATGACTGGGTAATAGATGACTTATCTATTTCAAATTCTTTCCATGCTAACTATTAAAGATTTTATCTCCATGTGCTTTTCCATGACATGGAATGCACCTTGCCTTGGCAGCTGCATGTTATAATTTTTACATAGAAACTTGATTGGTGTTGAATAGAGGAAACTCTACAGACGGGAGATTAAGGGCTGGTCTGGCTATAAATCATTCATGATAGGTAAATATCTAACTAGGAAAAGCCAGGTGTAAGGAGAATCTAGGACAATATAGTTAATATCTGAAGGAAAACAAACTTGTATCATGCTATTTTATGGCGTGAAAACAACTTGGGCTGCTTCATTATCACATCATGAAAATTCCTGATGTTTGAAATAAAAAGGGAAGGTGTTAGACTTGATCAGGACTTGCAGCACCAGGGTGTATCAAGGTTATAGACTTTTAATGGTGGTACAGGTGTGTAGCCCAGCAGTTTATATCATCTACTGAAATCTAGGTCAATTAATAACTAAAGCTTTCTCAGGTCCTTTAGATGTGAAATTAATTAGACCAGGACAGTGGAAAATACTAAGTGTTTACCTGTGGTGGGATGTAGAGGATATTAAATGGCTTCCTTTGTGATAACATATATAAGTATTCCAGAATATTTATATTTTCATGTGCGACAGTTGAAAAATATGGATATAGTGTCTTGATTAGCCCACCATCATCAGATGGTCGGCTATTCAATTCATTCTGTGTCCATGGTCCATTATTCATCCATCTGTCCATCATCCGTCCGTCCCTAAACAATTTTGTTATTGCTATTTCTTGAGAAGTCCTGCATGGATCTTTCTTAAATTGCAAATGTAGGTTTCCCTTGGTCTCTAGTTGTGTCATTGTAATTTTAGGTCTGATCAGGAAAAAAAAAATGGCCGAAAGGTGACCATCTTGGATTTTGACTTTGAAAGTTTGTTATTGCTATTTCTTGAGAAGTCCTGCATGGGTCTTTCTTAAATTGCAAATGTAGGTTTCCCTTGGTCTCTAGTTGTGTCAATGTAAATTCAGGTCTGATCAGGAAAAAAAATGGCCGAAAGGTGGCCATCTTGGGTTTTGCCAAGTGAAGATTGTTATAGCTATTTCTGAAGAAGTACTGAATGGATATCTCTCAAATTTTATAAGTATGTTCCCTTTAATCTCTCCTTGTGCTTGTTTGAATTTTGGGACAGATCAGAAGAAACAAAATGGCTTACAGTTGGCCATTTTGGATTTGGCAGGTTAAGATTATCATTTGTTTCTTCAAAGGATTGTTCAAATGTCTTATCGTTAAGAGCAAACACAGTGAAGAGAAAAGAAGGGAAAAGATTCAACTTTCAAAGAGCATATAAAGGTCAAACAATGATGGACGTCAAGATCCCTCTGGGATCTCTTGTCAAATGATGAATTCCTTCATTTCATTGGCAAAAGTTGTAATAAATATGTGTATCTGAATGTAGTGTAATATACAATCATTGGCCAGTTTTCAGGTCAATATTATGAGAAAGTGATATTTTTAAAGGCTGAAGTTGATAACGATTATTATATGACATTTCCCCAACATTTTCATTGTGCTAAATGAAAATAAATGAAAATAAATGAAAATTTTCTGTCATTAGATAGAACATGACAAATAAACATTCCATGATACATCCCTGCTACAATAAAAACCACAGAACCAGTAGGATACTTGTGGTATGATTATTCACAGTGTACAACACCATTTCATTTAATGGCAACAAACGCATCGAAATGAGATACACAGAAAACTTAGTAACAAAATAAATTCCTCATCTAGCACAACATATGCTCATGTGAAATTAAAATTTTCTGTGCTCTCTGTTCAGTTGGTCAGATTTAGTACAAGAAAAGACGTTAGATTATTAAGCATTTTGTTAAAATTAAAACTATATTTAGATTCACACGACAATCTATCTAAATCAGAGCTTAAAAGGTTTGCGAAATTGGTTGAATCCTTCTTTTCATTAGAAAAGAATGAAAAATCTTCACTGCTTTTTCTGCAGTTGCCAGCCTGTGTATTTTTAGGAGCTTTTCCTTTCAGTAAACTTTTAAATTATTCCTTGTTTTATCATGTCAGATGTCCAATTGTTAGCCATTTCATCAACAAATGTCATCAGCAGGTGATGTTCTGACATCATGGAAATCACTTGTTACATTAGGGTATGAGCTAGTGTTGTCAGAGTGGTATTTCTACCTTGAAAACTTGAAACTTGTGTTTATACTTTGTTATAAAATTGTGTTATTAGATTGTTCAAATGACTTGAAGTACTGATTTCGGGTTAATATGATGTTTAAACAATGTTGGAATATTTAAAATTGACCCATCATGGAAAAGGAAAAAACAGTGATATGATAAATTTTCACACCTATAGTGAGATATGTAGGTACTATTGTTGATCTTAAGGTTACAGATCTGATCACCTATCGTGATTGTTCCCGAGCTTGTTGTGTATATCTTATATCAATGTACTGTATCTCCTGGTTATAAGCCACAGCTCTGTGGTCCGACAGTTTGTATACTGATGTGGCTTATATGTGGACAAAAAAATCTACAGTGTGAACTTGAGGTTTTTTAATGTAAAACCAATTTTCATGAGGTAATACTTACCATAACTTTAGTATAGTATATGGGTGTAGGTACCATATTTGCATACTAAAGTTATGGTAATTATTACTGAAATGAAAATATGATTCATTTCCAACATGATGCAGGTTGGCCTAGATTGTCAAATCTTCAATACACCTACTCTGTGGGAACAAGTTTGTATTTTCTATGTAAACGTCACTCTAATTCTTGTTGAAAGTTTTAGGCGTCTTAAATATCTAAGATATTTAGACTTTAATACCTGGTACCAATTAAATCAAATTAATTGAACCCTGCCAAAGTGGCCTCCTGCCTCTGTGATGATGAGGAAGGCTTTCATTGGACACATCTCTAGCCTATTCTTCTATTGATATTGTAATTATAAAGTATGTGTAACTGATTAAGAATGGAATGTTTCATAATTAAGCTTCATCAGCATTGGTCTCTTATTTAGGTCATTCTAGTGGACCTGATATAACTACATAAAATTGTTCTTCACCGCCGACAATGGCTTAACAATGAAATGGAAACATAAATTGAAAACTTAGAAAAAAAGGAAAGAATGGAAGAAAAAAAAGAAAGAATAATTGGGTTACCAGGTAAAGCAGAGCAGGGTATAATGAAAAATACCAGCAAAATATTGAAAACACACCAAGTGTCTACCCAACATCAGATCCTAGATATTGAAAACACACCAAGTGTCTACCAAACATCTGATCCTAGGTATTGAAAACACACCAAGTGTCTACCCAACTTCAGATCCTAGATATTGAAAACACACCAAGTGTCTACCCAACATCTGATCCTAGATATTGAAAACACACCAAGTGTCTACCCAACATCTGATCCTAGATATTGAAAACACACCAAGTGTCTACCCAACATCAGATCCTAGATATTGAAAACACACCAAGTGTCTACCCAACATCTGATCCTAGATATTGAAAACACACCAAGTGTCTACCCAACTTCAGATCCTAGATATTGAAAACACACCCAAGTGTCTACCCTACGTCTGATCCTAGATATTGAAAACACACCCAAGTGTCTACCCAACATCTGATCCTAGATATTGAAAACACACCCAAGTGTCTACCCAACATCTGATCCTAGATATTGAAAACACACCCAAGTGTCTACCCAACATCTGATCCTAGATATTGAAAACACACCAAGTGTCTACCCAACATCTGATCCTAGATATTGAAAACACACCAAGTGTCTACCCAACATCAGATCCTAGATATTGAAAACACACCAAGTGTCTACCCAACATCAGATCCTAGATATTGAAAACACACCAAGTGTCTACCTAACTTCAGATCCTAGATATTGAAAACACACCCAAGTGTCTACCCAACATCTGATCCTAGATATTGAAAACACACCCAAGTGTCTACCCAACATCTGATCCTAGATATTGAAAACACACCCAAGTGTCTACCCAACATCTGATCCTAGATATTGAAAACACACCCAAGTGTCTACCCAACATCTGATCCTAGATATTGAAAACACACCAAGTGTCTACCCAACATCTGATCCTAGATATTGAAAACACACCAAGTGTCTACCCAACATCAGATCCTAGATATTGAAAACACACCAAGTGTCTACCCAACATCAGATCCTAGATATTGAAAACACACCAAGTGTCTACCTAACTTCAGATCCTAGATATTGAAAACACACCCAAGTGTCTACCCAACATCTGATCCTAGATATTGAAAACACAATGGATAAAAACATACAAAATATTAGATCCTAGATGTTCAAAACACACCAAAAATCTTTCCAAATATACATAAAATCATAAAAACAAAGGATTGACATGCTCACCGTGTTTAGTGGTTGAAG